TATAGGGGCGAAAACTCTGGTTCAAGCCGTGAAACAAGTGATCTTATCATAGTTTAAAGGCAATTGAAATAATTAATTGAATGTGATTCTCTAAAAAGGTGAAATGTTTTATAATGTTTTCATACTTTTAAAGGCAAAATGTAAATAAGTATGGTGTGGTATTGGAATTGCTGTAAATATTTTGTTTAACAAATCTTGCATTAAAGCCATGCTACCTAAAAAAAAAAAAAGAACATATTTCCTTTGAAAAGACTATCGTGCACAGTCTTTAAAAATTAAAACATACATTAAATCCACACAAAAAAATGCGGCATTTAACAAGTTAATGGCATGTTTCAAGGAGTTTTAATTTTCTTGTTATAATCCCATGTTTCAAGGAATTTTAATTTTCTTGTTATAATCCCATGTTGAACGTCATAAAATTAGGGAAAAAATAAGTATCTATTGTATCCAGGAAATTCTCTTCTTAACGCATTTATGCTCCCTTTGAACCATAATGTATGAAAACGCTTCGTTTTTGAACGTTGTCAAAAAAAAATCACTAGATATTTCAGTTTTTGTTCAGAAAATTCTTTGTTGTTTATTCTGATTTTGAATTGCTGATGAATTGTATTATAAAGAAAGATCAGAAAATTTAAGCCCGATGATATATCTATCGATTACCTCTGTTATACTTTTCAACATATTATGCCATCAAAGATGAGCTCCCTCGAATGAAAATGGTAAAGATAAGGAACAGTGATCGATCTCAAAAAAAAAAATCTATAAACAATACAAATCTGTAAACAGGACATAAAACAAGGACCCCCGGAAATTCCAGAGGTGGGATCAGGTACCTAGATTTAGCATCTCCTGTTGACCGGTCACAACCGCCCCGACCCCTTTGTAATGATCAGGTAGACGGAACATTGCGTAGTCAAATTCAGTATAAAAATAAAAGCCTAACAATGGGAATGAAACAAGCCAGCCAGGAATACGACCCAGTGATAGGTTATATTTGCTAAAAAGGTCATTAAAACGACCACAGAATTTACAAAATACTGACTTTAAACGAGATTATTGAAATCCCTGTAACATCAACTTATCTGTCAGTAGTCTGCCTCGGTTTAAAAATTGATCGTACTCGGAGCATGCTCTTTAGTATCGAATGGGAGATGTAAACACCATAATCTATTTGAAAAAGTCGAGGAAAGTCCATATTTGGATTCTTTGACACCAGAATACAGGCTCGGATCTGTGATTATGGATATTGCAAATCATAGGCTCTTTAAACCGCTCAAACAACCCGTTTGTTCCTTAAACGTGTTAAACTTCAATATACCAACAAAGGAATTGATATATTAGTAATATTCTTAATCACAAAAGGGTCCAGTCTTCTACTCCACCATATTTCAAGTTGAAGTCCACATCTTGTATTTCTTACAGATTTACATCGACTATTACTTCCAAACTGTTTAATTACAAAAAAGATATCAACATCTAAAACACAGTCCTCCTACTTCCATGCTCATGTTCTTCTTCACCCTACAACTATATAGTCCTGCTGGACACGTTATTACTGTGACGTAAATATAGTTAAAGCGACATGTGACGGACAAACGGGGAAATTGACAAAAGTAGAATTTTTGCAAGACACATGTAAATTTTATTCAAATCTTGAAAGTATTAGGTTTCAGAAAATTACAGGTTTCAGAATCTAAAAAATCTACTTTTATGGAGAAAAATATAAGTAAAAATAATTTTCGTTTGCCCAACACGAAAATATTGCTTCACTCCTTCCTCTTTAAGGTACGCATGCGAGGAAAAGTTGAAGAAGTTACCATGGTGTTAATTCCATAGATATAAATGTCGGATGACCGAGGATTTTGATATAATCTTCAAAAATGATCAGAACTTATTCCTCACATTTGATTGCTCTAATTCAATGTTGTTTACAAGTTTCACGCTAAAAATAAAAGACACATGACCTTGACATTCTTGTTGAGATTGACGATAATAACCACGCCACAGATACAACTTTTCTTTTTCCGGCACTTACATTCTACAGTCTTTTCTTGCTTTTACCGTGCAGTTGAGATCTCAAAACTTCGCCTTATTCATATTTCTCATAAATCTTTAGCTTTATGATACAGTTATCTTAAAAGAAACACATGATTTTGACTCGTTATGTACATGTAACTTTAATAATGAGGACCTTAAAATCACTTATTTTAAAGGCGCCAAAATTTAGGGAACCCCGATCTTCCAACTGGCGTCATAATTTCATAAATATTATGAATTCTGGGGAAGATCATTACGCCAGGCGATGGCCAAACATGACAAAGAAGACTTTGACACTTTGTCAGAATGGATTAAAAGTAGAAGATGGATGTTAAAATCTCGCCTTAAGCGATTGAGGGGGCAATACGAAAACCATCTATCCTTCTGTGTTCAATAATTCAGAAGTGAAAAAAATAGATTACACGATCAGTATGTACTGGTCCCTGCTGACAAAGCAGGTAACAACATTGTCTTTGTTTGTAAGGCTCATTATTTTCAATGTAGTTTAAGGTAGCTACTGGACTTCAGTTCTGCAAGTGGTAATCCAACTTACATCCACAGTTGCCTTTCTAAGAAGGAAATTCTTCAAAATCATGTCATTTTGATATATTTCTAATATTCCCAACAATCAAATGAATTTGCAGTACCATTCCTATACTGGATTCTAAAATACATTAAAATCCTTGCAAAGAAACGAAGCGGGTTTCAGTAAATGTTTTTCTAAGCTTCTTTCTTTACTCACCACTGAAATATGAACAGCAGTGAAGGACAAACTTCAGGAGTACATTCGAGATTCAGATAAGGATACTTCGAACCTTACAAGAACTTTTAGAAAATTTGATATCAAAATATTTTACGAAAATCAATAACATCAAAACATACGACTTTTCAACACTTTATACAACCATTCCTCAAAATAAATTTAGTCGCCTGTGTTGCACAGTGGTTAGAGCGTCTGCTCTAGAGTCGCGGAGCAAGGAGTTATCCCTACGTCGCGGGTTCGAATCCCACTACGGGGCGTAGAGACCGGTTCTTCGGATGAGACAGTGTTAATCGAGGTCCGTGTCGATCGCTTTAAATAGGCGCTGGCACGAAAAAGAGCCCTCACAGATCAATGGCTCTGAATGCTGAATATAGATCTAAACTTGCACCTCCCTACGGCAAGTGGGGGCGTCTCAATAAGTGAACAATTCTCGAAAGGGACGTTAAACAAAGAAAATTAAAGTCCAGGCTTTGTCCTTCAATTCTACAGTTAGATATATCGACGACGTTTATCAATTAACAGTATTTAATTTCATTCCTACCTTGATTCGATATCCCTTTAAATTCGAGATAAAAGAAACCACCGAGTCTGACACATCTGTTTCATATTTGGATACTTACCGGTCTTGTAGAGTAGGCTTTCCCCTCAAAATCTTTTTCCCCGGAAAACTGGCTCTAGAGTAGGATTTCCCCTGGAGTAGGATTTTCCCCACGGAATAATGACTCTAAAGTAGGAATTCACCTACGGAAATCCCATATCAGATTCAATTTTCCGTAGGATTTTTCGTGGGAAAATCCTACTCTGTGTAATAGTTATAGAGTGCGATTTCCCCAGAAACAATCCTCCCCATAAAATATCATGGTTGTACTTATGTATGAGGGTGGAGGGGCGACACATTGTTACAAATATCCCTTCTTCAAAAACGGCGACCAGTTCGTTTGAAATGTACAAAGAATGAAAATTTTAAATCTCATTTTTCTCAGGAACTGTCCAACCAATTCTGTTGAAGCATTAAAATCTTATTCTTTTCCTCTGGTCAAACGGGTTTCTGAAAAAATGGTACAATGTAATCGTTTGGACAAATTTTTAAATGTATCCATGGATACAAAAAGGAATTTTATTTTAAATGGATTTTTTAAAATTGTATTTCAAAACTACATATACATAATATTGATGTGCAAGTGTCTTGCCAAGCTTAAGATTAAGAAAAGCAATTTTTCTTGTATTGTTTTGTTTGTGTTTGGTTTTGTGCATTTTTTTTTTTTAATTTTCTCTTTGAAAAAACTACTGGATTCAAATACTCACAAAATGGCACGTGGAACTTATCAAAAACATAAATTTTAGAATTTTCTCACATACTCCTTGTATAAAGGATCGATCCATAGATGAAATACTAGGCTTTTAGAGGGCAAACAAATTATCAAATCACTTAAGGTGACCCGATATACATTTTAAAATTCGTAAACAAACAGGTATCTCTGCGCCGAGAGATGGTACCGAGACATCTTGTCTTACAATTGTTTTGAGTGATTAATTTTACAATTTCCTATAAGTTAAATTTTTGAGTTGAGACTCGATGATTTGAACTATAATATATTTTAAGATTTCATACTAATTTCGACAATTTTTGAGTTGAAAACATTCATATTTTCATTAAAAAAATCAGTTGACTTCCATAATTATAATCTGTTATTGTTCATATAATTTAAGCATTGATGAGGGGGAAATTCAACTCTAAGAAAGAATGGGAAAATCTGGCTATGGGGGAAATCCTACTCTACAACACCAGTACTAGAAAAAGACGTTGAGGTAACTTAACAATAAAACTTTTAAAAGATACAAGTGATGACCAACTGACTTCCCCTATCTATGTAGAAATAAATCACTATCACTCATCTTTTTCTCAAAGAATGACAGCCTTAAACATGACTCCAAGTGGATGTGAAGTGTTGTAAATTATTCCTTGTGTAACATAAATAAATTTGATTACAAACATTCAAGATTGTGCTTTAAGCACTTTTAGATACAATGACTGGACTGACAGTTTGGCCCTCTGGTTGTCAGTGGGTACTGCTCGAGACAACATACATCAAAATATAGCCTAACACATAATCATTAAGTCTGGCTTTTTTTTTTTCACATACAGATTTGTAAAGTTGCGCTTTCAATTTAATTTTCCATTTACTAGACAAAGAAAAAATTAAGATAAGTTTATTATAACAAATTTGTCAACAAATTTGCATAGAGTGAAAATATTGTTATTATATACACAAGCACTTCATATTCTGACATATTAGAGGATTTTGTACAAAATTTGACATTTGATCAGCTTTGAAAATCTTTGCCTAATTATTCTATTATCAACACTATGGCACAACCAAAGTCTTCCCATGATACCTTAATCTTTTTTTTTTCAGAATGCACACTGCTAACTGAGGTTAAACAAAACCAAAACAATTAAAAATTCTTCAGTACAAAGACCAAAACTATTAAAAAGATTTGCCACAGATAGTAAAAAGAAGTCTTATACAGTAGATAACACCTTTGGAATCTACAAAGTAATGTTATGCCATGCTTAAATAACCATCAAAATTGTACTCACATTAACAAAACAGCTGAAGGTAATATATGGAAAGTCAGGAACTTTATAATGTTCATCAGAGATACATGGAATGTAGCTTTCGTTTAAACACTGAGATCATTTTCTCCACAAAGATGCGACTTGGTTATGGTTAATAGAAATATAGACATAAGCTAAAATAAAAGTCCCGTATGGGAACATTTAGCTGAAATGTTTGACAATGCCATTCCACAAATGGTTAAAGATTAAATTTAACAACATTTCTTCAATATACATGTACAAACAAAAAAAAATTTCAAATCATAACCACAACCGAATCTCCAAGTAAGAGTTAATGTTCTTTGTTTACTCTCCCAGTTTACTGGAGATTGCAACCACATACATGCAAAAAAAACAAGAGGCCCATGGGCCACATCGCTCACCTGAGTAACTTTGGCCATGCTATTCTTTACCAGATTTCCCCCTTTTAATATACCTATTGTGGCCCCGCCCTACCCCTGGGGGTCATGATTTGAACAATTTAGATTCTACACTACCCCAGGATGCTTCCATATATAAGTTTCAGCTTTTCTGGCCCAGTGGTTCTTGAGAAGAAGATTTTTTAAGATTTTTCTTATATATTTCAATGTAAAACTTGGATTCCCTATTATGGCCCCGCCCTACCCCAGTGGTCATGATTTGAACAATTTAGAATCTACACTACCCCAGGATGCTTCCATATAAGTTTCAGCTTTTCTGGCCCAGTGGTTCTTGAGAAGAAGATTTTTAAAGATTTTTCCTATATATTTCAATGTAAAACTTGGATTCCCTATTGTGGCCCCGCCCTACCCCCGGGGGTCATGATCTGAACAATTTAGAATCTACACTACCCCAGGATGCTTCCATATAAGTTTCAGCTTTTCTGGCCCAGTGGTTCTTGAGAAGAAGATTTTTTAAGATTTTTCTTATATATTTCAATGTAAAACTTGGACTCCCTCTTGTGGCCCCGCCCTACCCCCGGGGGTCATGATTTGAACAATTTAGAATCCACACTACCCCAGGATGCTTCCATATAAGTTTCAGCTTTTCTGGCCCAGTGGTTCTTGAGAAGAAGATTTTTAAAGATTTTTCTTATATATTTCAATGTAAAACTTGGATTCCCTATTATGGCCCCGCCCTACCCCAGTTGTCATGATCTGAACAATTTAGAATCTACACTACCCCAGGATGCTTCCATGTAAGTTTCAGCTTTTCTGGCCCAGTGGTTCTTGAGAAGAAGATTTTTTTAAGATTTTTCTTATATATTTCAATGTAAAACTTGGATTCCCTCTTGTGGCCCCGCCCTACCCCCGTGGGTCATGATTTGAACAATTTAGAATCTACACTACCACAGGATGCTTCCACATAAGTTTCAGCTTTACTGGCCAAGTGGTTCTTGAGAAGAAGAATTTTAAAAGATTTTTCTTATTAATTTCAATGTACAACTTGGACTCCCTCTTGTGGCCCCGCCCTACCCCCGGGGGTCATGATTTGAACAATTTAAAATCTACACTACCCCAGGATGCTTCCACATAAGTTTAAGCTTTTCTGGCCCAGTGGTTCTTGAGAAGAAAATTTTTAAAGATTTTTCCTATATATTTCTATGTAAAACATTGATTCCACATTGTGGCCCCGCCCTACCACCGGGGGTCATGATTTGAACAATTTAGAATCTACACTACCCCAGGATGCTTCCATATAAGTTTCAGCTTTACTGGCCCTGTGGTTCTTGAGAAGAAGATTTTTTAATGACCCCACCCTATTTTTGTCTTCTCTTGATTATCTCCCCTTGTGAGGGGACTTGGCCCTTCATTTTAATAATTTAAATTCCCCTTCACCCAAGGATGCTTTGTACCAAGTTTGGTCAAAATTGGCCCAGTGGTTCTTGAGAAGAAGTCAAAAATGTGAAAAGTTTACAGACGGACGGACAGACAGACAGACAGACGGACAGACGGACGGACGGACGACGGACAAAATGTGATCAGAAAAGCTCACTTGAGCCTTCGGCTCAGGTGAGCTAAAAAAAAAAAAAGAGGTAGAATAAAAAATCATTCAAATATTAACCAATAATAAGTTAAGACTTTAAAAAGTAAATATTGGTACTTAACATCTTTTCTCAAAGAATTTACATCCTTAGTTAAAGGGTAGTGTTGTAGACTTAAAGCATTAACATTGTACAGTAATAAGAGATGTTTCTCTTAAATTAAGTATTTATAAAGTTACTCTACAATCTATAGTGCAACTGATTTACTATTGTGAATAATAAATCTCATCAGAACTTTTTTCTTCAATGTAGAGAGGACTTAGGTCCCCTGTTATTGACTAACCATTGTAAAAGACCACTAGAGGCCCTAGATGGACTGTCTATAATGTTATTCTGGGATAAAAATGAGACTTAGTTTTTGAATTGTTTATAGAGACAGAATGTTGACTAGACACATACACCAGTGTTAACTTAAAATTGTAATTTCACAACCAGTGAAGGATATGTTGACATGGCAACCATTCTGCCATAAACAGTGGTCACTCTGGCATAGATATGGAAATTAATTATGAACACAATTAAAACACATGAAACATAATGCCAAACAATCATGACATGGAATTAAACTCACATAAAGGAATATAACAACCATAATTGCCATAAATCTCAGAATATATTGTAAAACCACTTAATAAATGAGTCAAAGAAAACTGACACCATAAAATATACATTGAATCCACATATAGAGAAGAAAGACACATTTTAGTTCCAGACAACTCTCTGGAACTCCTGATATTTCATGCACAGTTTTGAGTTACATGGAATCTATATCTGTAATGTGTGCTCATCTGAAAATAAGCACAGGAAAGCACTGGCTTTGGCAAAAAATAGCATCACAAGTTCTGACCAGTGTGACATCATGCTCACTTTCCTATTGTAACAACATAGCAGTCACTCTGGTCATAGTAACAACATAGCAGTCACTCTGGTCATAGTATCAACATAGCAGTCATCGATGTAATGGTCACTTTGACAAGTCACAATATTATGGTCACTTTGGCACTAGAGATTTCAGCATCTGTTGATTGTTCATTAATATTTGTTGATTTTGACGAATTAAGGCTTTGATTTCTGTATAATGGGTGGGGAGGATCACACTGTTTATCTCTGTGGATGGTTTGTTTTCTATAACATTGTTCAACTCTGTACAGCATTCAGATATCGCTTCTCTCAGCATACAGAGCCCCTCCGAGTCCGTCCCTTTACTCTGGTCTTGTAGCTTTGGAAGATAGTACAGGGCATTAAAAACATACAAGAATCCTAGTTTAATGGTAATATTGAAAATAATTTCAAAACTTGGCACCATTAGATACATTTTAAACATTTATAAGTTCCTGAACATAACCCACAACTTTCCTTCACTTACTGTTTTGTAAGTTTCTGTCACCATGGTCACCGTTTTCTTAAGATCTCTGATGGCTTCCATGCTCATCTGAAGTTCATCTGCTTTCCTTGGACTCTGTTTAGGTGAGGGAGTGATGGTGGATCTTGATGAAGACACAGAGGTGGATCTACTGGGGGTGTAGGAGGTCTGTTGACTTGTGGGTGTGGTTTCCATGGCTGAGGTCAGAGGTTGACTTGTGGGTGTGGTTTCCGTGGCTGAGGTTAGATGCGTACTTGATGACTGAGACACCACATTCTGGGGGTGTTCTAGAGAGTAGCTAAATTCACAAATTAACATCAGTTAAACAAATGTATAATTAGTTTTATACCTACCTAAACTGAAAGAAAACATTCTCTATCTATAGAAAGAGTGAAAGAAAAATTAACAAGTATAATTTTTTTTAAAAAGGTTCCAGGCTTTTCAGTGTTAATGAAATGAACCAGACGATTTCACTATAAATAGCTACAGAATTCCAAAATCAAGGTCACAGTGACCTATCTTTTGGTCATGAGAAACTTCCTCACTAGGATATAACGTTTGATGATTCTAAATTGTGCTCTCACTACAATTATGTAGACATGATAAGGCTATGTGTAACTATTGATTTTCTAATAGGTCAATCTGAGCTCTTTAGGATTGTGACCCCCCCCCCTCCGCAATTCAATATCATTCCAGTAGAGCAAAATTCGTGCTGTTAAGCAGAAATGTTTAAATATCTAAAACTACGTACCAATTCTCCTGCCCACTCTTAAAATTTCTTGGAGGACTGATGCCCTGGAACATTCTGGTGGCAGTCTCGGAGTCTAAACTGGATCCCACCCCTGAGCTGTACTGACTGGCATTAGATCCAGGTGAATACATGGCTACAGATGATGGACTACTGATAACATTGACAGAAGTCCCCTGAGGACTCGAGTGAGATGTGAGCTGAGCTATTCTTTCTTTGATGCTTTTGGAAGGAGTATCATCGAGCTCATTATCAGAGTGACTTGTGAGTGTGCTCACCCATGAGTCATTCATCTGAGTGTCTGTATGAGATGGGTGAGAGGTGGCAAGATAATCAGGGGGAGATAACTGACTGCTACAGCTAGGAAGAGAGGACACAGAAGTTAGGGATGTCACTGAGGAATTGGGGTTCTGAGGTGTGTAGTCTTTTTCAGGTAAATCGTTTGGACTGGCATCTAATGCAGACAAGTCCTGGAAAGCTGACTCTATCTTCTGTCTCCTCAGTTCTTCAGCCGTCATCTCGATCTCCGTGGTTATCTGTAGAATGTTGCTGGACAGATGAACGGGGGGTGAGGTCACTTTGGGAATGGATCTATTACTGGCAGTAGTAGGCCTGAGATTTTCATTTACTGAAGTTTTGGGTCCTTGTTTCTGAGGCAGAATTCCTGAATTTCCTTTCAGAATGTTTTTAGCCTGATCAAGTGTGAGTTCCTGTTTGTTTTGAGTCTGAGATCGAGTAGCTCGCTTAATAAACACACTATGTTTGGATTTTGTCACATTTACATTCGTTGTGTTAGGTGGGGGCATCAAGTCTTTATCACTCTGTTTTCCTGGCAGTGACATTCGGACTGGCCTCTTGCTAAGTTCTGTTGTTGAACTTGCTTTTTTAGGTGTCCCTGTTGAGAATCTTTTGGTTTCAGGCAGTAATTTTTTAACATCACTTCTTTTAGACTTGAGTTTTTGTGGCTCATCATCTAACAGATCTGGCACACTGTTTGATAGATTACCACTGATGATGCCATTTTCTTGTTCCCAGTCCTCCGACGTATCGCTGAGGGCTGCTGCGGCCAGATTTGGAGTAGAGGCATACGCAGCAGATTTAGTCAAAGTTCTATATGGTTTTGATTTTGAGCTCTGTTTTTTACTATTCAGGTTGGTCATTGAAGTACTTTTATTTAGCTGGGGCCCCGACTCTTTGCGGTCTGTAGACAGTCGGGATTGTGAACTGGATGTCTGTTTCCTGTATGTGGAACTCTGGGAGTGAGATCGTGGCTCCAGTTTCTTTCTCTCTTCGCGGCTGAGGGACAGTGTACTGGGTCGTGACCTACGAGTATGCCTGCCCCCAGAGGATGATTCATCACTGTCACTTGTAAGTGCAGGTCCTAAAAATAGAGATTATGTACTAAAGTAAAATATTTGAGAAAGAGTGTCAACTACCATTGTCATTAGATAAATACATTTAAAACAAATAAGATAATATGAAAATCCATCAACTTCAAATAATGAATCTAACTTAATGAAAATAATGCAGCTACAAGAATTGATCTGTATTTTTAAAATGTATCTGATTCAATGACAGAACTGAAATAAACATTACAAAATCAAAGAAGCAAAGTTAAAAGCAATTGACATTGATGTTCGTGCTGCAAATTTATTCTGTAGAATTTTTTTTAAAATTTAATAGGTCTTCAGATTAGTTGACTTCTAAATATTTGTATGTTGGTTTTCAGAGGAAATTAACTGTTATTTCAGCTCTTATCAATGATAATGTGCACTTTTAACATCTCCTTAACACTGCACACATCATAAAATTTCAACCAATGAACCAACATCAAATGTCATGTTTCCTCTCTAACTGGATACATGTTTATGTACGTACATGGCGATACAAAAGACTTGTTAGAATACTAAATAATGCATTGTAGGCAGTACTGAGCAACTGATATACATTTTTAGTATAATGGTATAGTAATAGTACACTGGTCCAGCATACATGGAATACTCAGAAACAATAATGGGGAAAACAAAGCAATGGTTGTACATAAAGCATTGCCTTATATAATTATATGAAGTTAAACAAAGCATTGTTAAAAGCTTCAATGAGATACAATAAGATGCAATACTCTTAGATCAGCAGTGTTAATCTCGCATAAGACCCACTAACTTGTCAAACACGTATATCTAATATGAACAGGCTTAATATCCTGTTGAATTCAGAAGAGAAGCACTAAATCTACTTTACATTATCAAGTTGCCTTACAATTCAGGTGTCATACATCTTAAGAGTGGAGATATAATAACAGTGTCAGATATATATCAAAGAAACACAGTGTCAATCAATGTCAGGTGTTAATCAGTAAGGGATATAAATAGAGCAGGGTGTGTCACATCAAAGCAGTCCAGATACACTTCATGCCCGAGCGATTTACCACACTGGGTGGTGGATCTAGACAGAGACTGAGGGGTGGGTATCTTGCTACGCCACTGTGGTGGTGAGTGTACATTGCGAGGGTTACCCTTTGTGGTGGGGATGTGAACAGTGCAGGGGTCAGAGACTGGATGCTCCTCCTGGATTGGCTGTTTGGGAAGGTCAAAGGTTGACCAACATCTGCGAAGAGATGTTGGTGTTCGAGGGCCTAAAAATCAAAAGGTGATGAAGATGGTGCTCTGATGATATAAAAATCGTGACAAAAAAGAGGCAATGAATTAAATGTACTGAGGCATTTCACCTTGGTATGACTTCTGGGAATATCAAGCTCAATAATGGATAGCACTATTAATACAATTGTTGAAAGCATGGAATGCAATAGATAAGAAATAATTCTCTCTTCTTATGGAAAAAAAATTGATGGCATGTATTTACATCCCTCCTCTTGCTTTCAAGGTGGGAAGAACATGAATGCATATAGTAGTTTATATTAAACGAATATGAAATCAAAATTTCTTTAGAGAGCTACTAATAAAAAGACTGAATAAAAGGAAGACATTTTCTACAGACACATGCTCTAGCACCGAGCTCTGTTGACGAGTCAGCATGCCTATTTAATGACTTATACATCATGCACCTGACACACCTTGACCTAGATACCTACTGGAAGGAATATCCTCTCTTTCTAGTGATCTTCTGACCTCAGGAACTTCCTATAAATAGTTATAAATCAAATAACCACAAAATGTTAAAACAAGAGGCCCAGGGGCCACATCGCTCACCTGAGCACTCTGGCTAGGAAAAAGCAGAAAGCAGTTCAGTCTTAAAAAGTTTTGATATAAAAGCGGTTCGGGGGGTGGGGGGTGGGGTGGGGTGGGGTGGGGTTGATTTAAACTAATTTGAATCTATACTTCATAGGGATGCTTTTGAATTAATATGACAAATAATGGCTTTGCTGTTCTTAAGAAGACAATTTTAATTGATAAATCATTTGTATTCCTTTGTTTGACTATGATCCCCTGTTATGGCCCCTCTATTCTCCTGGGGGTTCATGATTTGAACAAAATTTGAATCTACATTACCTGACAGAGGATGCTTCCATTTAAATATGACTAATTATGGCTTTGCTGTTCTTGAAAAGAAAATTTTTAAAGATTTTTTCCTATGTAAAATTTAATAGCCCATTGTGGCCCCACCTGACCCCCGGGGGTCATGATTTGAACAAATTTGAATCTACACTACCTTAAGATGCTTCCATATAAATATAACCAATCATGGCTTTCCTGTTCTTGAGAAGAAGATTTTTAAAGATTTTGCCTGTATATTCCTATGTTAAACTTTGATCGCCCATTGTGGCCCCACCCTACCCCCAGGGGTCATGATTTGAACAAACTTGAATCTACACTACCTGAGGATGCTTCCATATAAGTTTCATATTTTCAAGCCCAGTGGTTCTTGAGAAGAAGATTTTTAAATGATGCCATTAATTTTTCACAAATTCATAATTAAATCCCCTTGGAAGAAGGCGTGGCCCTTCATTTGAACAAACTTGAATCCCCTTTACCCAAGGATATTTTAAGGAAAGTTTGGTTGAAATTGGCCCAGTAGTTCTTGAGAAGAAGATGAAAATGTGGAAAGTTAATGACAACGACAACAACAACGACAGACAATGGACAAATTTTGATCAGAAAAGCTCACTTGAGCCTTCGGCTCAGGTGAGCTAAAAATGAATCAGCAAACTTTATTCTATGTAATACATCTATATATTGATCACTAGTTAATAATTATAGCTTTAATAAAATTCAAAATACTGTAAATCAGTTTTTATTCGTTCGTACTTTATTTTTTCATATTTACACAAGACTGTCTGCTCATAAAAATTTCATTCTTGCATACTTTTTTATTAATAAAAATTACATATAACAATTTCCTGAATTCATGAAAATTTTCTCTCACTTATAAATACCATATGACTTTTGTGCGAAAATTAAGTGTTGCAAACATTTTGTGATCTACAGTAGAGTAAATTCAACATACAGAGTTATCATTCTTACAACTCATTTTTAAAAGATAGGGCAAGTGTGATAGTGTGGCCCGTTTCAGTACAAGAACAGAGTTATTTAACCTGTACAGGACTGTGATGAGGATCAGCCTCGGCCTCCGGACTCTGGTCCTTCCAGCCCATCTACAAATCAAGTGTTTATTAATCAATCACAGAAAGACTCAGACTAAGACTTTTTCTTTAAGCATATACACTAAGAGTACAAAAGTGTGGCTTCAAACAGAAACATTAGATTATCACTTACAGCCATTAGAGTTTTCCGCGTTTCATCGACAGCTCGGGCCATTACGTCCTTCCTCTTCTGTAGAGACTACACAGAACCAACAGAAAAATTAGTCACAAAATATAAAAATCAATTAAAAGTGTCAACAAATTCCAAAACTTAGTTTCCAAAGAGTTAGACGAAAACATTCATCCATCTACAGGGAAAGGAAATTTAAACAAGCTTGTGATAAAGACGCATCCTTACATCAAACCAGTTGTCCTGTCGCTGGACGCTGTTGTACACAGAGATGTTCCTAGAAGATATAAAATACGTATCAAAATTCATGTATAATTATATACAAAATAGGTATCAAAATAAATTTATAATTATTAATGTTTTAGTCTTATTTAGACTTGTTAATTTCCAATCAATTTCAAACTGAGGAAATCAAATTCTTCAGAGAGTTATTTTGTACTAATATTATTTGAAGTTGGTCTATTGCTTGAATCAGATGGTTGCTTGACACAGTATCCAATGATAGGAGCCTGATACTGTGATCAGAAGCCTGTTATTCAGATAACTAACCTGATAATATCAGGCTGATATTGGCCTGCTGTGTCCGTTATTTGGATAACTTACCTGCTGTGCCCATTATTGTATAACATACCTGATGTTGGCCTGTTGTGCCCATTATTTGTATAACTTACCTGATATTGGCCTGCTGTGCCCATTCTTTGGATAACTTACCTGATATTGGCCTGCTGTGCCCATTCTTTGGATAACTTACCTGATGTTGGCCTGCTGTGTCTGTTATTTGGATAACTTACCTGATGTTGGCCTGCTGTGCCCATTATTTGGATAACTTACCTGATGTTGGCCTGCTGTGCCCGGGACAGAAATCTGGAGGAGATGCTCAGTCGTGGATTGAATCCGTTTGGATCTTCCTCATCCTCCCTCTTCTTCTCCTCCTCATCCAGGTTCTTCTGAAACCTCTCCTTGTGGTCCGGTGTAAAACTCAGGTTCTCAAATGTATCTTTCAGGAACTTTTCCTACAGCAAATAAATTCCAAATGTTTATTTTCAAAGTGCTTAAATAAAATTACATGTCATTCAGGAATAAAGGGCTCCATCCTACGTGAAATTATTCTCTCAACACAATCAAACTAAATCCTTCAAGCAATTCAATTCTAACACATTTCTTTAACGGGTATGTTTGATTCTTACTGAGGTGTCTTCAATTCTGTTTTAAATCATACTCTTTTCATACTATTTATCTACCAAGATTCACTTAAAGTCTTATTTTTTGTTTAATGTCTGGGAAGTTGAGTTTTCTCCTCACCCTGAGAGGGGTTTGGGCTGAGAGATCATCCCCAGGGGTGGTGGGGAGGGAAGGAGCATCTCCCTGTTCCTCTTCATCCTCCAGTTCCTCAACAGAAACAGGGTCAGTGCTGGAAGACTCTAAAATAACAGAAACAGGGTCAGTGCTGGAAGACTCTAAAATAACAGAAACAGGGTCAGTGCTGAAAGACTCTAAAATAACAGATACAGGGTCAGTGCTGGAAGACTCTAAAATAACAGATACAGGGTCAGTGCTGGGAGATTCTAAAATAACAGACACAGGGTCAGTGCTGGAAGACTCTAAAATAACAGAAACAGGGTCAGTGCTGGAAGACTCTAAAATAACAGAAACAGGGTCAGTGCTGGAAGACTCTAAAATAACAGAAACAGGGTCAGTGCTGGAAGACTCTAAAATAACAGAAACAGGGTCAGCCCTGGAAGACTCTAAAATAACAGAAACAGGGTCAGTGCTGGAAGACACTAAAATAACAGAAACAGGGTCAGTGCTGGAAGACTCTAAAATAACAGATGCAGGGTCAGTGCTGGAAGACTAAAATAACAGAAAAGTCAGTTACACTGAATGATCCTAAAGATGACTTAATTTATTTGGCTTTGATGGATAGATACAAAAATATTAACCATTTTTTAACTTTTTTCCACCATATAAGCTCACACAGAAGTGATAATATAGCCCATTCTCAATAGGAGCTGGCTCCGGGGCCAAAAAACTTAGACGAGCTCTCTTTTGACCTCAGTCTCACTTTTCTACTATTAATTCCTTTGGTAAAAGTGAGACTGAGATCAAAAGTGAGCTCGTCTAAGTTTTATGGCCCCGGAGCCTGTACTTACCAGCATCCAGAGTTCTTTCTGACAGAGATGATCTACTGGATCCCCGGGGGAATCTCCTGCCACCCTGACCAGTGAACACTGTGAAGGAACTGTGAATGCGAGAAGAACTTATATAAACTCAAAACACAACAAAATACATGAAGACAGAATTTGATAAACTTTGACATATATCCTGGAAGAGTGTCATATGTGCTGATTGAGGTCAATTTGGTAGCATTGTCTAATATTCTGTAAATGTATTATAATTAGCATGTATGGTATTTGGTGGCAATTGATTTTTGAACAAATTAGCATAGATTTGATTTTGTGCATTTCTTAATATTCTAAGACTTATTTATATGTATATGTGCAAGTCATTTAGCATTGTACTTGATTTAGTGTAAGCTGCTTTCTGCCAAAGGCACTAAAAAGAATACACAGCCAAACGTAATACGTTTACAGTATACAAAGTAGAGGATCAAGTTCTGTGTACTTAGTTCTCTAACTGACCTGCTGTTGGTATCTACTGAACCCTCGCTGGGAGGGTAATAAATGACCTCAGGGGATTCCTCGTCAAGGTCATCCAGGTCGTCCTGGCTGCGATGAAATGACAGTCGATGCCACTGAGGATCTTTACCATCAGCTGAGCTCTAAAGGAGAGAATGACCAATGGTCAGGACTGATGAATACATCTGACTTTGCTCTGTAGATAATACTGTGTATTTTCCATACATACATGTACAAGTAATGCAGACCCTCAACAATAAAATTTCTCTAAATCTAGACCTTTCAAAACCATGATCTTCACATAAAACCAACTATTTCAGATAAAGCAGTTTCAAGACAAACACTTAAATATCAACCTTCTCATTTTTAAACTATCTGTTTCAAATGCTTTCATACTAAAAATGAAAAAGAGATGACTAGGTCACCCATGTAATTCTTCCTTACATTTTCTTCTTTCTGTTTTCTGGGGAAGAAATCATCATCCTCATCCTTGCTAGGAATTCTGGGAATTTTCTGAAAGAAAAAAAACCCTTTGTCAATCACTGTTGAAAACTTTTAATGTCTTAAATTGCATGAGAACTAATGGAAAAAATAAAGAGATAAAGAGCAAGCTGAATCAAAATATAGGCCTCCATTTTTGGTGCCTATGGCCAGGATTACTACATACTAGATATGAATCTTATCAAAATAATTTTGAATTATAAACTGCACTTACAAAAAAAATCAGCTTTTCCAGACTGAAAAGGAGAGCTAATAGCCTTTTAAGAAATTGGACAATCATGATACACTCTTTCCAATTTCATTCCCAGGAACAATAATGAAATTAAAATGTGAACAATAGTCTATAGTAATATATGCTCACAAGTCAATCAAACAAACTTTTCAAAGAATAAAAATCCAAGAAACTGTGTACATCTATCTATCTTTGGTGATATTTTTCAGGGATGAGGAAAAATTGCAAAATTAACAACATTAACATTTTTTATTACATATATATTTGGCTAATGGTGATTTTTTCCCCCTTGTACTTTGCTGCTATTAAAGTAAAGTGCAGTTAACAATCTCAAAAGAAATGGTTATTCTTTCTCCTAATTTCGTAAGTTTGAACTATGCCCTGTTCCTTCTTACCCAAGTACAATGCAAATTTTAAATTACAACATTGTCCCAAATTCTGAATATCTTGTTCTCATTTTTTTTTTAAATTTCACCAAATCTTACACCTTTGTGCAATATGTGAAAAATTACAATGATGAAATCAAATGGATAAAATGTATGCAAATTAACAGGAAATATTCCAATAATTTTAACTCATGAGGAAACAATGGTAGTTCCATTGTTGGGGGTACATCAGCGTTTAACATTTGCTGACATGCCACGCCACACTATATCAATGGCACATGTCACTGTCAATCACTGTGCCGATTTCTGAAATCCTCTGTAATGGCAGTTTGACGTCAAAATAATGACGTATTAAACATGTTAAAACAATGCTTGCAATTAAGAGCAAGATTTAAAGAAAACATAAAACGACCCTTTAATTTACATCTTAATCCAATGTCGGTATTCCTGGTGATACACGGTTACACTTGAGGTTAGCTTGATCCTTCCTCTAATTTATTCAGACATTAGTAGAAAAGGACAGGTGAACTTTTAAAGGTCAAGGTTATACAAAGTCTGTTACAAACAAACCAGTTTATAAAGCATTCACTTTTAAGCAGTCAGTGTTCAAACATAAATATTCTAAAAATACTGAAGCAATAAAAATCAATTGAAAAAAAATAAATAGTCATTATAATTTTAAAATTCTAATGAAACCAAACTTATTTTGTAGTCACTTCACAGAAAATTTCAAACTTAAATACTTATAGTTCTCCTGTATATACACATTTTAATTTGTAAACTTAGTATGTTAATTTAATTACACAATCAAGGGGATGTTTATACTATCAATGTATAACCCCCCCCCTTTCTTGCAAAACTGTAAATGAAAGAATGTTGCTTCAAGAAAAATACAAGTATCATGTGCAATATTTCATGTAATTCTACACCCCCCCCCCATCCCCCTTGAAAAAGAAATAAAAAATAAAAAAATTGGCCCCCCCCCCCCTTCCAAGTATTTGAACTTAGTTTTTTTTATCAGATGTTCCTAATGAAAATTGCAAGAATGATGTAACTTCTATCTTTAAGTCTACTGACAAATTAAACTTTGATTAATGATTTCTCATGCCTGGGCCTACTTGCTCTGTGTACAATAACAAAAGCTCCCTAATTCTTTAAAAGACATTTTCTTCATTGACTTCCTAGGAACAGCTGACAGATGAATCATTTAGAAATAAGGAGAAGGAGTCCTCAACAAAGAAACTCAATACAACTGTACGTAACAGCCTAAAATTTAGCGCCAACCTTAATTTATCAATTAATCAACATGAAAATGGGAGAGAATTCAACAGTATAAAAGCCAGGTTGTGTAAATGTCAAGTGTCCAACTTGTTTATTGTTAAAATCAACATTCTTATCATCCAAAAACTGCCAAAATTCTTTAAAGTAAGAAAAACTCGGAGATTTACAAATAGCCTCTAGATTTTACTATCAGGAGAAGATTACGGTAAGCACAGGTGTTCTCCCTATACAGTGGTTAAATACTTCAAAATGAACTTCCAAGGTACAATTAACTGTGACTTCAGTCTCGGACCACTCCTACCATTACTTAAATTACGTACCATTGTAAAGTAGTCTAAGAGTAATCTCTAATAAGGGCCATAGTTAATTCTTGTCCGAGTCCTTCTGCCATTGGTAAAGGACTTTTAGTGCTTATAGTAAGAATAAACCACTATGTCAAACTCCAATTTCTTAACTATTGGTTAAACAATGCTGCAATCCTATCATTTGAAATACCATTGTGATGTAGAATGACAGAGTACAGTGTATATGGATATCAAAGTGAAATAGATTACTACCATGAACAAACACATCTATGATTCATATGGAAAATGATTTTCAAGGAATCCCTTGTTTTTTCTCATTTAAATCTACTTCACAAAAAAGGGAAGCTGTTCAACATACATCTCTTTGAAAATTTGTTCGGAAATTTTTTAAATGACCTTGAATTTCATATTTTGATAAGTACGATGTCATTGATGTCAAAACTGCTAGGAGCTACGGACGATCTCACGTCTAATGCGACAACAATGTACTCTCCACAAGATATTTGCTATTATCTCTACCCCTGATCAGTCACTTCATCTCGTTTTCAATTTTTTTTGCATGTCAATACACATTAACATAATCCTACAGCTTTTAGCTTTCAATAAATCATAAAGGAATTTCTCTTCATATCAAAGTCACTACACAAACCACTCTATTCCGTGGATCAGGGGACAACATTCCAGAAACATGCGGATTAACGAGCCAGGCAGAGTGACAGAGTCCCCCCAGGGCTGTTGTCTATGGTGGATTATTGTATGTCTATTGCAGATTATCCATCATTTATTGGGGATTATCCATCTATCTCCTTGGCCCCCCTCCTCAAGATTGTTTCCCTTAACAAATCCAATTAAAACAACCTTCCACACACAAATTCAGAATTAAAGTGTCAATTATAATGCACTATCTGGAGGTATACACAAAGGTTATCTTTATGACTGTATCTTCCTGCTCATATTCTGTAAGGTAAAGATAGTGAGGGGATTTATAAGACATACACCATCTAGTCCAAACAGTTTGACCAACCCAACCTACCCCATTGTGTTCGCAAGTTATGCATGTAAAATAAAATGAAGCAAAATATACAATGATAGGCTATTAATCTTTATGAGATAATTCACTTTAGTGCAGAAAATCTAGTGGCAAAAATAAATGTAAAATGCCCTTGTGATAAATAATGCATTACATTAGATTTTTAATGTTGTATTTAAATGAAAATAAATGATTTCTTTTTATTTACATACAAAAATGAAACCTCATAAATGAAGCATAATTTCACTATAGAACTGAACCAGGGATTTGAATAATTGGGTATATAGACAATATTTTATTTGATTTAATCATTTGTCAAAACATTAAATATTACTGCTCATATTGACACCTTTCACTCTATACGTTCCACGATTAATCCATCTTTTGAAATAAACCATTAGCAGTGACTTTTATAATCCAAACACATGGCCAGACTGAGTTTTCTTTATTCATCAAGAATAAAAGCTTTCAAACCAATGTGAAAATGGACATCATATGTTTCTTTGTTTGAAAATAAATTGCTATTTACTCATTTTTTGTTACAAAAGAATAAAAATCATTATTGATTGTCTGTATTTTTAAATCCAGCACAATGTCAAGTGTGCATGAATTAATGACAAATATCCCCAGTCCCTGCATGAATTAATGACAAATATCTCCAGTCCCTGGACCACTGGTCACTGAACTTCAGGTCATAACGGTCATGTCTACAAGTCTTCAGGTTCTTTTTTTTTTTTTTTTTTTTTTTTTTAATTTTTTGGATTGTTTTATAAAGTAGATTTTCTCTTCAACTTCAATTTCAACTTTAACTTCAATTTAAGTGTTAGATTATTATAGCATCATCTACTTATTACTATTGATTAAAACAATCATCTTTATAAATGTCTCATTTAAATGATCCCCGTGAGGCTGTCTGTTTCTTTCGTAGTTTTATTACTACTACCTACTACTACCTACTACTAGCTACTACTAAAGATTGACAATAAAGAATGTCAAGTTATATCTGTCCTAAATCCAAAACTCAATAAAAAAGCATCAAAATTGTCAAAATTAAACCAGTTAAATTTTCAGCTTGAAGGTGAATCAGCAGGGTAAATAATGCAGATTACGATGCCATCGTGTTCCGCTTTACAATGACTGAACGATGAATGCTCTCCAGACCCAAATCATGTCCTATCTCCCTATATAGCCTACGTGTCAAACAGATTTCCAGGTCAGGTCTTTGGAATGAAAGAAATGAAATTTAATAACAGGACACTTGTTGTTACTTCGGGCAGATGAAGTGTTTTTATTTGGTACAGTTGGAAGCCCGACACAGCTCTCTTGTGATCTAGCACACCCTGACACATACTTTTCACATAGAGCTAATCCCTTCACAGAGTATGGTGCAGATATATTAACCGTGCCTGTATGTATTTAATGAAATTCCAATCAGAAAATACTAAGTCACTGATATTCATGCATGGCGATATATCTAAAACTCTTCAAAATCTTTACATTATTACATATTTTGTTTATATTTCTCAATAGAATATACAAAGAGATTCACGGGCAGTTTTTGACACTGTAAATGCCTATGGACTACTTTTGTGTTTGTGACATCAAAATATGTTTTTCCTTCTCTCCATTCCTAACGACATCATATACACATAAATCTGATGTCACAAATATCCAATGAGCTTTCAGTAACCAATGTTTTTAGGATGTTTATACCATAAATTCAAAGAAATCCTATTCATATGAATTGGGAAAAAAATGTATTGGTTTTAAAATATGTAATAAAAAGGTTATTAACTTAACGTTTAATATTAGGAAATATTATGCCCGCACTCCATCTTTGCACAGATGCCGACCTCACAAGCTCTGTCAGCTTTGCAACATGAAGACCTCGGGCGGACATATTTCTCAATATTCAGTCAATAACCTAGAAGTATTTTTTAATATATATTAATAAATAAAGTTTCATCATCCTGCTCCTTCCTACCTTATTAATTACGAAGTTCAACTTAAGTATGACATACTTCACACCTGAAATTATTAAGTACAACTGCAAGAAAAGAAAACTTAGAAATGTTTGCTCTTAGTCATTTTTAAATCCTACTTCATAATAATCTTATAATCATCCATAAACTTATAGCAGCTAATAAGATTCTATATTACGTAAAAAATTAAATATCAAAATTCTGCCATCTCATTTCAATTACATAACGAACTGAATACCAGACCGTCTGTATAACACTTAACAAAACATAGCATAGACAAAGCTTAGAGTTATGGTAACAAGCTCTTTTTTGATAGGATGGGATTATATACCATGTTTATTTTAATTTACTGGATTAAAGTCTTATACATCAAATCATTCAGAAGATCTGGAGACAGTGTCTATATTATACATCAAGAAACTATGGGAGTGATGGTATGCCATTAATTATATTTAATCTCAAAAACTTCACAGACTCCTAATATTTTTGCAAGATTGTCTCCCTGATTATTTTCAAAATTAAGTCAGGAAATAAAGAGTGATATCAGTCAATTTATAAAAGATATCAAGTTAACATATTGACCTCATTCTCTGGAAGTAGTACTTGAACAAACCTTAATGTTCACATCAACAAGAACCTTCCTCCCACTTTGAACGAACCAATTATCTATAGTCCTATTGGTTCATCAAAAATGCAGCAAAATCAGAATCCTCTTTACCCACAATATCCTTATTCCAAGTGAAGGAGTCAGACTTAATTTATGAAATACTTATACAACAGACAAGAAACTTTAATCAGAATTATTTGACTGGCTCAGGTGAGCTTATTAAAAAAACGACAGTAATATTAAGTACTCACTCTTGGCGTGTTCTCAGTCTGCTTCAGAATCACAGTCTCTCTTCTAACTTTCTGGGCTTTCTGGTCTAAAATACAAAGTACCTCTTGATAAATATTGTCATCTTCATCATCACTAAGACTCTCATCAAACCCTGATGACCCCGAATCATTGCGGTCCCACCACCCTCCATCCTTCTCAAGGCCCCACTCATAAGTTTTCTGATCCCAAAAGTCAACATGATCAGTTTTTATGTCCTCTATTATTTCATCCCAAAATTCATCCATCACAAACTGTGTAGGAAGAACGGCTCTCTTTCTATAACCATTCTGATTATACCCAAGGTGGTCCCTATAAGGCAATATTTCGTAGAGAACTTGTGAATTGTGAAAATTTGGTCTTATATAGCGCTGCTTGTACTCCATTGTGTGGAATGATCAGTGAGGCAGCTGATCTGTGCTTTAAAATAACAATGCATTAATCAGCTCCTGTATATCCACGTGAATCACTGCGAAAACTGTCGACAGTCAGTCGGCATAGCCTTAATCCAGGGTCTTATCCACTGGCACATCGACAGAAAACAGTTATCCCAAATCATTTACACTTTTATTGCACATCAGTATCTTTTTAATGTGTGACACCCTTAGAAATATGAAGTGGAAGATTTGGTCCCCCAAAAGATAACCGCTTTAATTAAATTGAGATAGAAGTGGTCTTTTCCATAAATTGACCACTAAAATCAGGACATCTTATTAGGTTTGGTACCAGCACCTCTTTGGCTCCAACAGAACAGATCAGGTGATTTGGCACTGCAACACTTCAAATCACAACTGCAAGAGTAAAGTGCTATTAAGAGTTTTCAGATCTTTAATTCTGACCTATGAATGGATAAAGTTTATCTCTTCCTAATCCTTAAATCCCCTGAAAAAAAATCTGTTTATTGATTGTTTATGTCGTCCTCACAACTGGCCTTGTTCTTGGGGGGCACCTGTTGTAGCCCTGTCTATTAAACTGGACACAATGGCTGAACTTCCAGTCCAATACACATCATACAATTAATTCATTAAAGCATTAAAACCTAATTAATCCCCACACAGAGGGGGCTGAAACTCGTGGAATAGGTGTCAATTTCAATATTTTAATTTCACTTAACATGATTAAAATCCTAATGGATTTGGAGTGTTTAGTTATTACCTTGCTTACTTAAGCAGTTCTGCTCTCTTTAATAGAATGTCAATCACTTTAAAACTTGCATATTTTCAGTAAATAAATGGCGTTTGAATGTTAAAATTTTTTTTTTAAATATTGGAAAAATTGAGAGAAGGCCGGTGTAGCATTAAAATTTCAAAAAAACTAGATGTGTCAGTAACGACACGAATGCCCCCACAAGCAGCCAAAATTTCAAATGCAATATTTAGTTTTAAATTTGTATTTGAACTTGAATCATATTTTCTTAGGTAAAATACCTGCATATACAATTTCAATCTTATACATACATCCCTACAAAAGTTAGAGAGCAGAGACTGAACATTTCTAATTTTTTTTATAAGTTCAAGAGGTATAACTCTGTCAAAATCATCAGACCATGACCAAATTCAAACTTGACCTGTATTTTCTGGTAAAATACCCTACATATGCAATTTCAATGTACCTTATATATACATCCCTACAAAAGTTACAGAGCAGAAACTGAAAATTCCTTATTTTTTCCTAAGTTCAAGAGGGATAAATCTGTCAAAAATCATCAGACCATGACCAAATTCAAACCTGACCTGCGTATTCCTATGACATATCCATATGTCAAATTTAAGTTGAATGTGTGCAACTGTTGCCGGGATAATGAACAGAAAGTGAATGGTGACGGAATGATGGAACAGGATATCACTATATTTATTATTTATCATTATCTTGAACTTGATGGGACCGAGAAAAATTTTCGAGATATCCAAGGATTTGAGATATCGAGGGTAAAACACTTAAAGAATAAGTGGTTGGGACTTCAAAATCACTTCGACATATCCATGGTATTCGAGACATCAGTGTTCAAGATACCGAAGTTCAACTGTATTTACTTTTAAAAAATAAAATCTAGATAATTATAAAACTAGAAATATGTCCATAGGACATGAATGCCCCGCCAAGGATATATTAGTAATGCAACATGAAAATTGTATTAGTGTATGAAATTTGATGAGAATATCTTGAAAAGTTTCTTTAAAATTGATATTGAAATCTAAAAAGTTGGATATAGATGGTAAATTCTCGCCAAATTATGTATAAGTGCATAAACTTACATAAATATATCTTAAATGGTTTCTTTAAAATTAAGCAAAATGCAAATCTAAGAAAAGTGATGTCAAGGTCACAAGAAAGTTCAAGGTCAAATGTTTTTGATGCAGTTGAATACTTCTCACAAATACGTATCAGCATATTTAAGTTTGATAAAAATATTTTGAATGGTTTATTTAAAACTGAGCTACACACTGATTTAAAATAAATGAAGTTAAGGTCAAAGGAAAGGTCAAGGTCAAAAAATGCTGATGCAGTTGAAAAGGTCACATCAGTTTGTATAAGCATATGATGTTTAATAAAAATATTATGAATGTTTTCTTTAAAACTGAGTTAAACACAAATTGAGAAAAGTGAGGTCAAGGTCAAAGGAAAGGTCATGGTAAAAAAAATATTACGCAGTTGAATAGCTTACATAAGTATGTATCAGTACATGAATTTTGACACTAATTTAAGAAAAGTGAGGTCAAGGTAAAAGAAAAGGTCAAGGTCAAAAAATGTTGATGCAGTTGAAAAGCTCTCATCAGTATGTATGAAGTTTGATAACACTGTATTGAATGGTATCTTTAAAATTGAGCTTAACACTAATTTAAGAAAAGTAAGGTCAAGGTCAAAGAAAAAGTCAAAGTCAAAAAATATTGATGCAGTTGAAAATCTCTCATCAGTATGTATCAGCATATGAAGTTGATAAAAATATCTTGAATGATTTCATTAACCCTGAGCTAAACACGAATTTAAGAAAACTGAGGTCAAAGTCAAAGGAATGGTCAAGGTCAAAAAATGTTGATGCAGTTGAATAGCTTACATCAGTATGTATCAAAATATGAAGTTTGACTACACTATCTTGAATGGTATCTTTAAAATTGAGGCAAACAACTAATTTAAGAAAAGTGAAGTCAAGGTCAAATGAAAGGTCAAGGTCAAAAAATGTTGATGCAGTTGTATAGCTCTCATCAATATCTAGCAGCATATGATGTTTGATAAAAATATCTTTGATAGTTTCTTTGAAACTGAGCTTTGAACAGAGCTAAACGCAAAGTGTGACGGAAGGACAGACGGAAGGACGGAAGACAGACATGACAAACACTATATGCCCCGGCCATATTCATAGCCTTGCATAAAAATTAAATCTATACGGTCATATTTCAGCCTGTCCACTTCACTAAGGAAGTGTTGAGGAGATGAAACAGATATTTGAGGCCAGAAGCACAAAGTGAACAAATAAGAAAAATAACAAATTTCTTATCACCAATTACATGTAATGATTTATGGTACATCTTATATTTATCAGCTTAACACATACATAAAAAACAAATATTCTGGTAGTTTGCATCCCTAAAAGCAACATTTTTGCAATCTTAGTCTGGGCAGGACTTCCTTCATTTGGGTGGGAGGAAGAGAGGGTGAGGAATTCCTTCATTTTGGTGGGAGGAAGAGAGGGTGAGGGATTCCTTTATTTTGGTGGGAGTAGGAGAGGGCGAGGAATTCCTTTATTTTGGTGGGAGGAAGAGAGGGTGAGGGATTCCTTTATTTGGGTGGGAGAAGGAGAGGGTGAGGGATTCCTTTATTTTGGTGGGAGTAGGAGAGGGTGAAGGATTCCTTTATTTGGGTGGGAGTAGGAGAGGGTGAGGGATTCCTTTATTTTGGTGGAAGGAAGAGAGGGTGAGGGATTCCTTTATTTTGGTGAGAGGAAGAGAGGGTGAGGGATTCCTTTATTTGGGTGGGAGTAGGAGAGGGTGAGGGATTCCTTTATTTGGGTGGGAGGAAGAGAGGGTGTGGGATTCCTTGCCATTGAACCTCCATAATGTCAGGATGACCAGACTGACCCAGTTAAATAGGTCATACATGTAATGTGGCCCCCTTTATAAATTTCTGTTCAAGGTCTTGTTTATCAAGAAGGCCTCAATTCTTTGGAATATTTTGCCATGACCTTAATCTCTCTACTCTTGCAACATGACTTTTTATCTTTGAATGGAAAAAAAAATCCCCATAAGGAAAATCTTGATTCTCCAATTATAATCACATTATAAGTCACTCATAGAATAAGAGGGTCATCGACCTTAAAGGTCACCAGAGAGTAATTACATGTGCCCTAGTTCCTTGCTACACTGTGTTCTTTTTTTCTTATGTACTCCTTTGTAAACTTGTCTGCCTTCACACATCATAATAAATTCATCAGAAGGGCAATATTTTAAGCAATATTTCATAATTATTTAACAATTTAAAGTTTTGCTTTAAAAAAAAAAAATATTACGGTTGATATCTCATAGTATATGACTTTGATTATTATGTTTTAGCTCCCTGTATTCCGGATTAGATTCAAAGAGTTTAGTTTTAGACTTCATTGAATGTAAAAATATGGACCCCCATTGTTGTCGGTCCCTACCCTGTGGAACATTGACTGAACATGCTTAAATCTTCATAACAAAAGTGCAGTATGCAGCATTTAAATTTATCATTCCTCTAAGAAGAACACTACAATATACAAACATATATATCTCAAACACAGATATCTCAAATACCATGGATATGTCGAAATGATTTGGAAGTCCTTACCGTATATACTCGCATATAAGTCAGTCCGCCTATAAGTCGTTTGTATTTTTAAGCTTATATAGGGCTTGACACTCTAAAATTCAATCTTTTTATAACTTGCCTATAAGTTGGACAAAGAGTTCTGGACCAAAGTTTAACTCCAAAAAAACTGACTTATAGGCGAGTATTTACAGTAAGTATTTTACCCTCGATCTCGAAGTTTCTTCTCGGTCCACTCGAGTTCGAGATAACGAGGTTTAACGGTATATCAGTGTAAAAATTAGTACCCAAGCAGTTCTTGAGTGACTATGACCACAGGCACCTGACAATGCTTGGTTGGTGTAACCCCCCTCCCCCCCCCCCCCAACCTTTCCCAACTTATCATACCAATACTTCATTATTTGATATCATTTTCCATTTTTGTTAAGATTTAGAGATAACCCATTTACAGTAAACACACAGGTTGTCCTGCTTTGAGGGAGATTTTCAACATTAATACAGCATTACCAATGTAAAAATTCTCAGAAAGAAGGAGGGGGGTTACGCCAACCATTTGTCAGGTGCCTGTGACTTTGACCCCCTTTTTGTGCTACAATCCCAGTCTGAGAGGCCAAAACTTTAACAAATCTCTCTACACAAAGATTCTGTACAAAACAAAATTACACTAGATTTCTAAGAGTAAGAGTGAAAACTGAAGCCAATCCATGGCCAATGAACCATGATTTCAACACACTAAACTTAACACGGTAGCTTCCAATCAAGTTTCTTCATTTTGGCTTGTACTTCTTCAGAAAATTTTCCAATGATCCCAAACTTTTTTTTCCATATCTTAAACATCTCCCCTTGGAAAAGGATCTGGCCTGTACATTTCAACAAATTTGAAAAATCATTCACCAAAAGTAATGAAAAGTTTATGCACAAAAGACCACAGACAAATAAAACAGAAATAATTTGGATACATCATGAGTGTATAAGATGACCAAAAACTGCTATACTGAGTACAAAATAGATATTTAGAATATATTCTAGAGATGATACTGTCCCTCAGATTTTCACGTTTAGAGAACGTGACCACCACAAACAACCAAGACAAACTAGGTCGGTAGATAATCTCTCTTGGTCTGTCTGTATAATCTCATTCTCCAGAACTCTTTAACTTTGACTCTACTGGAGTAATCGTTAATTTTCAGATTATGTTAGAATAGACCAATTCACACCATTACCTTCTCTGGGAGATTAAATATAATTATTAGGCTAAATAGGATAAGAAAAATAATCATCTCATCAAAGAAATATCACCTGCAGAACCCTGGATTGGGACCATTGTTTTCCTTAGAATCATACATATGTTAACTTTAAAACAGCAGTTTAAATGAAACTCTAATGATTCTTTTCAAGGAAGAATTCAGTTAACAAATTTTGTAGCACATCTCAAAGGAACAAAACAAGTTCAGATTTCAAGTATGTAAGTCATGCCATCAAACATAAAATGTACCAGGTATACTGCATTTTCTTTAAAAGCAATAACATTTTCATTTCAAAGATGCCATAAAACCAAATTTATCAAATTACATAATAGAATACTGTATTCATGTGAGGAATAACTTATTATGTTTTCTGATGTTCACTGTACAAAATATTAAATGTACATGTATCAGGCAGGGGAGAGAAGTGGGGTGGGGGTGGGATGTCACATGAACTTCATCACATGGTATAATATTCTAACACCGATTCCGACACTCACCATCCCGGCCCTCCACAATCTCTAGCTGGCTCAGATCCTCCACACTCTCTATTCTACTCGCCCATCGGCCTCGGGGCAGCGGTTTGCTGTCAGGTTTTTGTTTTGTGTTACTGTTCTCCCCCATCTGAAATTAAAACAGTCAGTTTCTATTAGTAACAGTGCTCTGATTTCTAACATTTCATTGATAAAAGTCAATTTAGGTCATGCTTGAAATCACCGTATAAGCAAAGGTCAAATAACATTTCTTTGACTTTGTCTTAATGCCTAACCCTGACTTAGTTGATCATGTACAACCTTTGGTAAGTTGTTCCACTTTAAAGACTTGTTGGCTTGTCTTCGCCATATTTTTTAGCTTAAATAATGCACTCCCCTAAGGCTTGCCCTAGATAACCTTTTTCACCTAAGTCTTAGCCCAGTTTGCCAATTCTCACTCAGCCTTTGTCCATTTTCATACACTCTGAAATTGACCCAGTCCAACTCACTCAGCCTTTGTCTATTTATATCCATTCTCAACTTAGCCTACTCTATTTTAATACACTCACATTGACCACAATTGGCCCTGTTAGCCTACTCATTAAGCCTTGTCCATTTATATCCACTCTCACCCTGGCCCAGTTGGCTTACTCATTCAGCTTTGGTCTATTTATGTCCACTCTTACCCTGGCCCAGTAAGCCTTCTCATTCAACCCTGGTCCATTTTTATCCACTCTCACCCTAGCCCAGTTAGCCTACTCACTAAGCCTTGGTCTATTTATATACACTCACCTTGACCTTGGCCCAGTTAGGCAGTGGTCCTACACTGTATCTGAAGTCGGGCTGCTCTTCCTCTCTCTGTTTTTGTAATTCCTCCAGAATCTTTGTGGGGGTCTTAATCACCTGCTCATTAGGGAACAATGGGGCTCTTCCAAGGATCTCATCATAACTCTCACGCTTCCTGTAAAATGTAAACATCATATAACTCTCTTGCCTAGGGGTGCAACAATACATCAACTTCACGATACGATACGTATCACGGTATTCAGTTCACGATACGATACGTATCATGATACATGACTTTCAAGTTTTTCATCATATTTTTTAAAACTTGATAGGTTTATATCAAATGTTCATATTTTTTTATAATAACTAAAATATCAGTTTGTTAACTTAATTGGATTGATAGGTAGATCTTTGAGTTATGACAATGTTCTAAACCAATTACGAACATTTACAGGGAACTATGGAAACCTTCCCTCATAATCTTCCTTTTAAATTGGAATGAAAAAGGAAGACATACATTCTTATATTTACGTAGAAAACCAGTTGTCATATTTTTCGTGTTAACACGTTTTAGTCAACAAGACAGCAAATTTTAATCGAAATACATAGATGAGATATCGTGTATTACCACAGAATACGTTTAGATCTAAAGGGTTTATCACTTGTATTAACATCTATTACTTTTGATCACATTAGGAATGAGATAAAGTCCTTCACCGTGTTAAATCTGAGGTCTGGAGATGAGTTTAACTGCCATTAAGGCGTTAACGTCGACCTCATGTTTTGCGCGGAAGCCATTTTGAAATTGTTTGTTTTGTTTGTTTGTATGTTGTTTAACATCCCTCTCGAGAATTTTTCATTCATATGGAGACGCCACCACTTGCCGGTGGAGAGCTGCAAATTTTGTCCTTTACTCGGCACTTACGGCCACTGAGCAGTGAGGGATCTTTTTCGTGCCAGCAACTACTGCAACACGGGACCTCGGTTTATACGGTCTCATCCGAAGGACCGGTCTCCACATCCCACAGTGGGATTCGAACCCACGACGTAAGGAACAGCTCCTTACTCTGCGACTCTAGAGCGAACGCTCTAACCACTGCGCCACGCGGGCGACCATTTTGAAATTGTAAACAAGGAAACAAAACGGATGATTCGGATAATTCTGGACCGATTGAACCGAACCGCGATATCAGTTTGAGGTATCATGAATTGAACCGTCGAAAAATATACCGCGATATACCGTCAAACGGTTTATCGTTGCACTCTTACTCTTGCCTCCTGTACAATGTAAACATCATAAAACTCTCTTGCCACCTGTAAAATGTAAACATCATAACACTCTTGCTTTCTATTAAATGTACACATCTTAACTCTCTCACTTTCTGTAAAATGTAAAACATGTCGACTCATTCATGCAAATTTAGGCAATATTTAATTTATACTATGGAAGAAAAGTAGGGAATAAAAAGACAAATTTGTTAAAATGTTGTAGAAAACATGAGCTTGATTCAAGTGTTCACTTTTTATCCATAAAAAGAAATTGTTACAGATGATTTTAGCGGACAGTGACTACATAATATCTACAATTGAATATTTTTGGGTTCAGTCTTAAATTACCTCTTCATTATTTATATGAAAAATTGAGACAGAGGCATATATGCCCTACAAATTATTTACAAGTACAAAGGTGAAGGTCAAGGTCAACAAAAATCCTGATATCAAAAATACTGCATCTACTAAGCACATTCTCTACACACAAAATTAGCCAGTGACAATTATGACTGGTTACCTATAGCAAAGTTCTATATTTCTTGATAAACTTTTCCAACTTCATAAAAGAATAAATTATAAAGAAGAGGTAAGTCTAATACATGTTTTTTTTTCACTGAGGTAAATCAGTCCTTGACCACTGACTTTGTAAGAAGTAAATTAAAACATTTTAACTCCCTTGTGGATAACCTGTTCATGTTATCATCTATATACACACAAATTTATATGTCTCTAAATAAAACTAGGATGTCAGGGTCAAGGTCCCCCTTACAGGCAGTATACCTCATCTTGATCTACATATGTGTGAAGTTTGATATCATACTTCTGTAGATTCCTTATTTTTCGCGAGTACTTATTATCGCGAAATGGCTCTTGAGCATCACATCGCGAGAACAATAATTTGCGAGTAGATGGTTTATCAAGAGATTTAATATTGATTTCAGCACAATAAAAATAACAAGAGGCCCATGGGCCACATCGCTCACCTGAGCACATTGGCTAGGCAAAAGTACAAATCAGTTCAGTATTGATAAGATTACCGGGGGAGGGGGGGGGGCTTGAATTTTAAACTACCTGATGATGCTTCCATGTCAATATAACAAATGGTTTTGTTGTACTTGAGATTATTTTAAAAAAAATTTCCCATATATTCCTTTGTAAAAATTTGATCCCCCATTGTGGCTCCTCCCTATCCAAGGGGTCATCATTTGAACAAACTTGAATCTACACTACCTGAGGATAATTCCATATAAATATGACTCATCATGGCTTTGCTGTTCTTGAGAGGAAGATTTTTAAAGGTTTTTCCTACAGTATATATTTCTATGTAAAACTTTGATCCTCCATTGTGGTCCCGAACTACCCCCGGGGGTCATGATTTGAACAAACTTGAATCTACACTACCTGAGGATGCTTCCATATAAATATGACTCATCATGGCTTTGCTGTTCTTGAGAAGAAGATTTTTAAAGGTTTTTCCTATATATTTGTATGTAAAACTTTGATCCTCCATTGTGGCCCCGCCCTACCCCCACGGGTCATGATTTGAACAAACTTGAATCTACACTACCTGAGGATGCTTCCATATAAATATGACTCATCATGGCTTTGCTGTTCTTGAGAAGAAGATTTTTAAAGGTTTTTCCTATATATTTCTATGTAAAACTTTGATCCTCCATTGTGGCCCTGCCCTACCCCCGGGGGTCATGATTTGAACAAACTTGAATGTACACTACCTGAGGATGTTTCCACATGAGTTTCATCTTTCTTGGCCCTGTGGTTCTTGAGAAGAAGATTTTTAAAAGATGCTATTAATTTTTCACTAATTCTTTAATATCTCCCCCGTAAAAGAGGGTGTGGCCCTTCATTTAAAAAAACTTGAATCCCCATCAACCAAGGATGCTTTGTGGCAAGTTTGGTTGAAAATGGCCCAGTGGTTCTTGAGAAGAAGTCGAAAATGTGAAAAGTTTACAGACAGACGGACGGACAGACGGACTACAGACAAAATGTGATCAGAAAAGCTCACTTGAGCTTTCAGCTCAGGTGAGCTAAAAAGGAGTTATTTTATTTTCGTGGGTGGTGCTTCTCGCGAAATTACGCGATAATTAATTCCTCACGTATATTTAGGAATCTACAGTATAGACAGGTCACAACACCTAAGATAAATTGTTGAAGCTGGTGGTCCAGAACATCACCAGTTCAGAAGCCTTTTAAAATCATAATCCAGCCAAAACAACAAAAAAAAATTTCCAAGAGTCTTCAATGAGTAACAACACAATATTTCAATCTCAGTATCCCTACTAATCAATACCACTGACCCACCTGTTGATTTCCCCATTGATGGCCTCAAAGGGAAGTCTCCCCATCTCCTCCAGACGGCCTCGCATTGACTCGGTCAGTTCAGGGGGTAGTCTCCAGACAAAGATACAACCATCGCTGGATACGGAGACCAAACGCTTCAGGTCAGGCATAAACTTCACCCCGGTAGCCAGCTCCGAGTGACCAAACATTGTAGCCAACAGGTCCCCAGTCTTAAAGTCCAACAGACACAGACTTTTGTCCGTACAGCTGGTGACTGCGTACTGACCGGAGGGGTCTAACTGAAGCTTTAACAACACCCCGTTGTCCCCCACTGCTCCTTTGTAACACTGCTTCTGTTTGGCTGTTTTAATGTTGTAGATTCTGTACAAAATACATACAGTTTACACATCATAGAAATTTTGTTTTGTCTCCTCTGTCAAACTTGCAAATTAGGAATAGAACAATTAGAAGGCTTCAAGTTAACCAAGAATTCATGACTATCTCATTGAATAATGGTATACATATTTAAGATTGGGACTGTCCATAAAGTGGATCATAGTAGCCCTGCTGGAGTTACTTCCCTTGACTATATTATTTCTAGCCATATTACGGCTATTACCTGATGTTTCGGTCTTGGCAAGCAGTTGCCATAAATCTTTCTGTGGGTTCGATGTCCATGTCATACAAACTGTTGGTCCCTACTACATGTTGACTTGCAAGAACAAACTGGAATGTTGGAGTCTGCAAATAAAGAAATGTAAAACAGAAGAAATGATAAATTAAACAAGTACTCATACTATGGTAAATTCAAGGACCTTTTATCTCTCAAAAAACTCCATACAGCAAAATTTGCATAGTAATCGTACATGTATCTTTAGTTTCTCTAGGTAATATTTTTGATACTGAAGAATGCAATTTTAACTATGTTTATTCATGTACTTTATTGATTTATATTGAATATTCGATTACAAATTAGGAATGATGTCATTGTGGTCTACAGATCCTACATGGCATCCCATAATTTACACATTCAACCGTCATATTATTTCTTTCTCTGTTAATATAATTTATAAAGCATATCTTTATCATTTTTGAAGAGGTAAGGCTACTTTTTTTTTTAAACAACTTTAATAAAAAAAATGTCTGAACACTATCCAGAAACTTTTGTTTTCATTTTTTTCATTTTAATGCTTTGGTTTTCGGATAAATTTTCCCTTAATCTTCAATTTCTGTAATGCCTGCAGCTAGCAATATAATTTCTGTATGTATCGGTGATATTACTGTCCATAACTTTCATCAGTTAAATAACTAAAAATTGTCTTGGCTTTCTTTTCAGTTGGCGCCATTAAAAAAACTAATTACAAACATTAAATTAGATCTTGAACAAATGCACCTGTGGAGCTCAGCTGCAGGAACTGAAAATTTCTTGTGTAACATTTGGCACATAGAAGGCTTTCAAGTGAGGCAACTTAAAAAGTACTGTATAATCCCCCCCCCCCCCCCAAAAAAAAAACACATTCTAGATTTACCTTTATCTGTGTTTTTGGCTGTAGGTATATTTTTCATGAAGTTCACTAGCTCACTTTCTGAAATAAGCTTATTTGACAGGTCTGTGTAATTAACACACCAATAATATTCACTAATCTAAAGATTATTCCTTAAGTATTTACCGTTTGAGCATTACGGAAGAGAACAGATTTGTCGGCACTGGAACTGAGCATCTTTATTTGTTCGTCATTCTCTGTGAACTTGATGGCAGTAACAGAGCTGGAATGGTCATCAAGGGTCTGAAGTAAACCGTATCCCTGCTCCACGTCAAAGACGTGTATCAAACGGTCCCTACTGGCAGACGCCAATAGCTGTGGACCTAAGAAAAGAAACAAATTTATCAGTATCAAATGGTCCCTACTGGCAGAGGTCAATAGCTGTGGACCTGAGAAAAGAAACAAGTTTATCAGTATCAAACGGTCCCTACTGGCAGAGGCCAATAGCTGAGGACCTGAGAAAAGAAACAAGTTTATCAGTATCAAATGGTCCCTACTGGCAGAGGCCTATAGCTGAGAACCTGAGAAAAGAAACAAGTTTATCAGTATCAAATGGTCCCTACTGGCAGACGCCAACAGCTGCGGACCTGAGAATAGAAATAAGATTATCAGTATCAAACCATCCCTACTGGCATAGGCAATAGCTGGGGACCTAATAACAGAAACAAGGTTATCCGAATCTGCAGTATAATTAGATACAAATCAACTTAATTATTGTCATAATAATTGGTACCTTCTTATAAAGTTTTTTACTTTGCTTATTGGAAAGGCCAAAGAAGTTACTATTACTTAGAAAGTAAATTGTAATTTTCACTTTCTCCTATTGTCTTATTGGTTCCTTAAACTGAAAGTCAGTTTTTATTAAAAGCAAAGTCTTACAAACTTTCACTTGAATTACTTGCTTTTTCCCTTCATTCCAGCTTTATAATTACCTGTTTTAAGATATGAGTATTGAACACATAAAACTTCCTGGTCGTGAGCCTCTATCTTCATCAGCTCGTGCATGTTCATCAAATCATGAACCCTGACAAAAAATAAATTACACACTCTTACAACAGAATAATACAGGCCTGACAAACTACTTTAATTTCTTTTTTATGCTGAGAGATGCAGAACACTGAATATATCATGATATCATGGATTTTTTTCTGCTATTCAAATGTTACATAAATTGAAGGAAACAGGCTTTAAATTTTCTTTTCTGAAATTTTTAATCTTGGTAAAATTTGGCTGACAATATGATGTATTAACTCCCTTTTGTCTAAAATTTTAAAGTTCAATGATGACTGAATTAAGCCAGATAATTTTACCTAACATTTCCTATCCTGTCTCCAGAGGCCAGATGTCGTCCGTCAGGACTTATCCCAATCGACCGAATTCCGTTTTTCCCATCATAATTTGTGTCAGTTTTATCTGTGCCCCCAGCTGTATCATAAAACACGAGCATTAAGAAAATATATGGAAAGAAGCAATCTTATAAATCATTATGATTTATTTATGTACACAAAATCTAATCCATAGCACCATTCCTACTTTCTGGAGACAGACCTGGATTGTAATTGACGTCCTTCAGGAAGGTCAGCGTTGGATCCACATAAACCACCTTCAGTAATTCCTGCATAATAAAATATAATTCATCTACTGAATTGTACATTTAATTTTAGGGGTGGGACGATACAGAGCTTGCCATACGATACATATCTTGATACATGTAATACGATACAATACACATCTTGATGTTATAGTTAATCAGAAAATAATAGTAATAGTATTTCTTGACAATAAATCAACAAATTTTTTTTAGATCAAACCAAATGTGCTTTGAATTTAATACTTGTAGTTCATCAATATCATTGATTAAAAATTCATCAAAAACAATATTACCGGTACAGGAACGCCAAAAATTTATAAACAGGTTGATTTACAAAATAATTGACCCATTATTGGTTCCATGTATCAAATTCTTTTCATGAAAGTTAGAGAATTCACGCTGTCTTTGTTCAGAGTTGCCCTCTGGGTATTCTCTTTAGAGAAGTGGAATGGTGAAAAAGACCCTTTCTCTTAAAAGAATACCTAGAGGATTGATACTCTGTGACCGCGCTCTCAGATGTCTGGGACATAATTCGGCGGTGCACGTTCATTGGGGAATTTAGCTCAAGGGTTTGGGGAATGTTAGGAAGCACATAAGTCCAAATTTGTAGGGTAACAATGACAGTTTATTAAAGTAACCGTGAATTCCAAACAACATAAAAACATAAAGATGCAAGTCCAAGTCCTAACTAAAATTTAGATAAAGCTGGCCTAAATAGAAATAGAATCTTAAAAGTTTCTTAGTCTAATTCCTACATGGTTCTTAATTAACACATCAACTCACTAGCTCTGTCACTCTAGATCTCCCTTAACTCTCTGTATTCTCAAATATATATTATTAACTAATTGTAAGAAATTACTCAATGTAAATATAGCCAAAGGGCAAAACTTGTCAACTAAGTAATCTGAACAATGGAATACTCAAGTGTCATCCTTTGATGTCAGGAAGTCAAAGAAGATTTATTTAATTAATCTAACACCTAATCAGTGACCATTGCCATCAGGCAGTATGAGTGTAAATGATTTACAATTGCTAAGAAAGCACTAAATATTTCTGGGGATTAAGAATTAGCCAGATGTAAAATGTGTTGGTTTAATTTCATTACTTGTGAACAAATAACTTAGGATATCAAGAATTTATCAAAGTAAATGAATTTTATGAATGATATTAAAATTATAAGTAAAATTATTATCTATATTAAAATAAGTATCAAAAGTGAAATGGGAGCCATTTCACTGGTGATATTGTCAATATCCCCAGCTGTGGAAAGGATACTTTAAATTTCTGATCTGTATATAACATGCTTTACAGACTGCTTGACTTCTCACTTTTCTCGTTTTGTTTTCCAAGGTGGCTATGAAGCTAAAACATTTCTATCTCTATGACTCATTAGTGCAAGGCACGATTTCAATATTACCGTTATCTTCTGCTTCGTTACAAGTCGCATTTTTTTACTTTCGTTTTCAATTTTTTGATGTCCTTCATGTATCATTTCGTACCAATATTTCAGATTGAGTATCGTAAACCATATCTTAGCTGGAAATATCGGTATGTATCGTAGTATCGGTATATCATCCCACCTCTATTTATTTGTCATTTTTCCCCCTTGCGATATTCATTTGGGTTACTTAACTTTCCAAGTCAAAATGGCTCTTACGTCTAGTTGTCATTTATGAAGGAAAAAATTAAGAGAATGTAAATATAAGCATTGATTCTGAATTCTTAAAATTTTGGATGTCGTCGGTTGCATAACAGCACCTGTTCGAGCCAAAAAATTATTATACCACTCTAACGCATTGTATTCAATTTGTTAGTAATGTGCTGTTCAAAAATAAGAAATCAATGTTTAAATAAATGCACTTACATTAGAGTAGACATTCCGCTTACTACTCTCAGTTTCCACCATGTGTGGATCCAGATTCCAGATCCTAATCGTGTCGTCTGAGGAACACGTCATAAACGAAGCAGAGGGCAATACAGGTCGTACGTCTTCTGTCGTCGCAGGGTTCACCTTCAAAAGCAAAAATATGAATGACATGTAAATTCTTTAATCAAATTTTAACTTTGAGTGTTCTTTACATGATACTGACATCAGTGTCATTCAGCACTGAGGACATTCGGAATAGCTGAATGAACAATCTAAGATGTTCTCTCTCAAATATCATTCATTGGTAGACATGCTGATACACCAAGAAACAGCAAGACAGACAGACAGCAACCTCTAGCCCCAAGAAACAGAGGATAGACAGACAGACAGACACTGACCACTAGCCCCCAGAGATAGACAGCTAGACAGACACAGACAGACAGACTAAAAGACAGACATACAGACACTGACCTCTAGCCCCCAGATACAACTGCTGTGGTAGAGGAAGGACCAGGACTTGCCCACTTTCCTTACGTCATGAACGTCCCATACATACAGACTATGGTCATTGTATACACAAGTCACCTAAAAACAAAGAAAAAAAGCATCAAGACTTGACAAAGAAAAACTCAGGTGTGTTTTTTTTTGTAAAGTAATGAACATTTTTCTTTATCTGATTTTATTTGAATAAAGTACAGTCTAAGGGTGTTACCATCTATTTCCAAGAATTTTTTCTCAATATCCTTTATCAAAATAAAACCTAGAGGCATTCATGGAGCAAATGATAATTATACCTATATTTGTAAACATAAGATAGCCAAACCTTTTTATGAGCATCATCATAACTAACTGCAATAGTGTCTGGAAACTTAGCATCCTCTGTCTGAGAAATTAGCTGACTACAATAAAACAGAAGTTAATTGTTCAAGTTTGATTCTGTTGCTCTTATGAAGTAAAATAACTTCTAATGACGCATGTGAGTTAAGACTAGGTACAGTGCAGGAAACTAATTTTGTTACAGCATCGATGCTGATTTGAATGCTTCCTTTGCTTGCTGATTTGAATGCTTCCTTTGCTTGCTGATTTAATGCTAGTAATCCTTATCCTGATGCTGTTTTGTAATTAGGTCAATGCTACCGGAAGTAGCATCATGCTACCGGAAGAAGATAATGAATTTCAGCATTGCCGTTTAAAGCTATAAAAGTGCCTTTTACAATTATTTGATCATAATATCTCACTATGTATCAATAATGTGAATACTTTAACCAATATTCTTTCTTTCTTTTTTAATTTTTTACTGAATTAAAACTCATTGATTTTCTGATGCTAGTAGGATAATGCTGATTTTATGTAGGTCAATGCTGGTTTTATCCTTTGCTTGCTGATGCTGATCCTGGTAATGCTGTTTTTTAAATGCTGATCCTGATGCTAGCTCGATCCTGATGCTACTAATGCTTATGCTGATGCTGGTTTATGTAACAAAATTAGTTCCCTGCACTGTATAGGCGGTTCTATGCAAATGAGCTCATAAAAATGCACAAGAGGTAAATTTGTTATTCAGAGAAAGTTTCGATTTATTTTCTTATGCATACTTAGTACCCATTGATATGTTATAGCCTGTACACATTTTGACGTCATATTATGACGTCATTGTTCTTACCCAATGGAGATAATAAAATCTATTAGAAAAAAAATTCGGCGCAAGGGATTACCCTATTTAATTTTACAAAAATATTGTATAATGCTAAGAAGAATATTCTATAGATTAATAATTCTGCTGCACAAATCCTAGGCATTTTCTCATTTGATCGGAATTTAAGGAAACTTGTACCGGACTGTACATTTTTACCCTGATTCAACTTAAAACGTTACAAATAGAAATTATACAACTGAGCTGTTGATATTTATGCAGCAATTCCAGCAATTTTTAGAATATTTTGCTTCTAAATATACCTTGTTTCAGTTAAATAAAATAGAGCATGCCCTTGTGTCAAAGCATTTTTGTTGATGTCCATTATAACCTTGTGTAGTAAAGAACAATGATGTCATAATATGACGTCATAATGTGTACTGGCTATCTCATGTCGTGGGTACCAAGTATGTATTAGACAATAAGTTTTAACTTTCTCTGTATAATAGATATAGTTCTTAGGCTTTTTAATTAGTTTATTTGCATAGAAATGCCTATACCTAGCCTTAACTCATCTGTCGAGACATGAATTTGTGGACATCATGAGGCAGTGACCTTTTTTATTCTATTATTATTAACCTGCTTATAATGAGCTCATTATCTAAGAAAAAATACTATAAAAGTCCTTTCTTTTAAAAAAGCTTTATTTTTTACAAATTTCTAAGAATCAGAAAAAGAATGAGAGCCACTTTGAAGAAATTTTAAAGTATGAGAATTATGTCACCAAAAATTAGTTCAAAATCCTAAAAATTTCCCCAATATCATAGTTTCACTACATGAATCTTACCTGGGACTCAGAGCTGATGCTACATCTACCCCAAGCTGATGGGGGCGGGGCATGGTACCCACATAATTCAGATTGACAGCATCGAAAATCCTGACCACACCGTTAGCACAACCAATAAATATATGATCTTCTCCAGCCGACACACAGGTGGCGTTGGTGGTCTGTAAAAAAGGGAGATTACTCCAGATTGTATGAAAACCCAGATATTGCCAAAAAATAGTCATCTCCAGTACAACCAAAATGTGCAGAATGGTAATTTTCAAAACTGCAGCAATGTTTCCCTACATGGTACTATCCAGCAAATTGTGACACTGAAAAAGTCATACTGGCCCCAAAAGAGTGCTTACAGGGGTAACTTAAACCTTCTAAATAATGCCTTAAAATCTGGGTTTTTTTTTTCAGTTAATTAATTGTGGAGCTAATTTGAAGTACTTGTATTTAATGTGATGTTAATTTGTTTACTGTATTTTTTTACCTCACTGCATAAAAGTTTTTCAAGTGAATATAAAGTCTTTCATTAGAATATTTATACAAGTCACAGAATCACACTCGTGAAATGGACCTAGCAATATCTTGACTTTTTGACCAAATGACAAGAAGACATGTAGGAGTCTATTTCTTGCCATCTTTACTTATATACTTAATATGAAGTTAAAAGATATTCGAGTTATTGTTTGTCCCACAGGAACAGGCAGAAGGAGGCCTCAGTAATTTCTACAGATGGATGCCTCAGTAATTTCTACAGATGGAGGCCTCGATCAGTAATTTCTACAGATTCTCCAAATTTTTGTGCAGGAGCCCCAATTCTAAAACTGCTCAAATTAAAAACAACAACAACCAAATCCAAACCATCCTATGACAATAAATAAAACACCAAACCACTACAGAAGTTAGTACCAGCGTGAAGATAACACAGTACTCACATGCATGTTACTTTCAGCAATTCTCTTCAGAAAATACAATGTGTTTGTAACATATACAACTTTAACAATATCACCAAAATATTCTGATCAATTATACACTCATGTAATTAAAAAATATTCTGATCAATTATACACTCATGTAATTAAAAAATATTCTCATAAAATTCTGCATTTAATAATTTATTGAAAACATTTGTATGAATAGTCACCTAATAATAGAAGGCATATCAGTCCCAAACAGGCTTTGGCAACAATTTTATCCAAGGACATTTAATTAACATGATTTACTCAGAAAACATTAATTTGTTGCACTAAATATTTTGTAGTAATTGTTAAAGCAATATTTATAGGTTATTAAGTGAATATTTAAGAAATGAGGTATCATTTTTAAACATCTATTGGGATATAAATACGGGTTGGTCACGAGATCAAATTCCATAAAACCCAAAGGGCTTTATGATAAATTTGATCTCGTACCAACCCGTATTTACATGTATATCCCTATGGATGTTTAAAAATGATACCTTAATTATTACTTATATTTACATTTGTGACTTATTCATATTTTATATTTGCCTAATTATAATTTTTAACGTGAAGTGTTTAATTTTTCAAACTCAATGGCACTTGTTTAATCCATTGATTGCACGTCGGCCCTTTATGATGTCACTGAGAAATTACGTTGAACGTTTATGACGTGAGGAACCCGTGTTTACACGGATATAGGTACACATTGCTTTCAATAGTGTTATATAAATGTTTAGCATAAGCAAATGTAACTATAAGAAGATAAGGTCTCAGTCCAGTAAAGCTGACCAGCTCACATCTGTTCAAAGACCAGAATATTTCTAAACATGCCATCAGTAACCTCTTTATTACACAATTAACGTCTGTGCTTTTTTTTTTTTAAATAAATAAAAATATAATTTGTCTAAATTTTTGGTCATAATTAATCTGTACAACATTAATAACTGCCTGTACTGCGGAATTTGTTACATTACTTATATACTGAAACACAAAAGAAATGCAACAAGCAGTAATCTACCAATATTTGAATTTTTTATCTAATGATTTGAAAACATCAGAGATTTGATAAAATGTTAAATGATTATCTTGTAACTTTAGAAAGTAACACATGACTGTTAAAACACCCCTACCCCGACCATTCAATTACAGCGTGCAAGACTGCCATGCACGTTGCAGCTTGATTTCTACGATGCTATAGGTTCATCAATTTCGAGATCTGAACGAAAGAAATATTCTTTGCCATTTTTAATGCCTGTTTTTCAGATGATGAGGTCGAATTTCCTCTAGCCAAGCACAGTGTAGTAACCCTTGGACTTCCGGTCCAAGGACTGTCATTCAGGCTAATGATACGTAAGAGCCTCTTGAGGCATGATGTGCATCATACTTGCATCTGCAACTCTCCATCACCTTTATTTTGAGATTTTCCGGCTAGAGCAATGGAAATGCGTACTTAAGTCATTTTCAGGAAGCACTGGCCTCGCTTACGGAACAGAAAGGAGAATTTTTTTTCCAGAACATTGCTGCATTACTTATGATGAACAGATACAAATCCTTAAAACCTCATATTATTACCAAATGTTTTGTTAAACATGCAATTTTTGATATCTGTTAAGCAGTTTCAAACTTAACTTCTGGTAATGGTATGAAAATCGTTCAAATGTTAAATTACCGATATTTACAAAGTTGGAAGATGTCCTTACTTTTAAGATACAAAATTATATCCTATATGTAATATTTCCCCCTAAAATAAGATGTTGCGTTTCTTTTGCATTTCAGTATGTTTGTGTGTGATGTCATTAAGAATGGAGAGACAGAAAACAAGTATATCTATTGTGACATCACAAACACCAGATCAGTCTCCAGGCATTTAACAGTCTGGGCTGATATAGAATTTATATTTATATAATCTATTGAGAAATACATAAAAATATGTAATAATCCTTGTTAGCACATACATAATAGATAGTGCCCCTAGTATTTGCCTCATAAGGGTATAAACCTTATGAATACTGAAGCATTTCTGTAAGATTTATGGATCTTCCTTTTTCATAAACAGAGACTTATTCCTCTATATTTTATATATAGAGTGACCTCCCCAAATTTTATTCCCCTTTTATCCCCCTCCCTGAACTACAATGTAACTTACTCTTAGCTCCACCCACTTGTCCAGCTGTCGTTTGTCGTTGAACTGACACAGTAAGCCAGTTTGTGTAATGGCATACACGGCTTGTCCACAAGCTACATCACAGAAATAATTGTTTTTGTGGTCTCCTAGGATACCATTTCTCCCCTGCAGTGGCACTGTCTCATTTATCTACAGAGAAATAATTCTATCACCCAACATTCATAATCCTGCATATTTTCTGTAAATATTGTCCTTTTTGTTTTCTCTGCACATTTCATTTTCGATGTTGGAAAATCAGAATTTGTTCTGTTCTTCTCATTCAATTATTCTCTTACAATTATAATTTCTACTGACTCAGAAGCAAATATTCTTCCAAAAATATAGTAGATTCTGCTGTTTTTCATAATTTTTTTAAATTTTCAACATGTTCAAGTCTTACATGTACTGTCCATAAACTAATATCTCAGACTGATTAAAAAGACTCTTCTATTACGAAAACTTTTAAACAAATGCTGTATACAGCTTATATTTTCTTTACCCTGGATTTACTGCTCTCCAAATACCAAAACTTTACATGTCGGTTACCAACAGTCACAAACAAGGAACCATCTTTAGAGAAAGCAATGGAATTCACCTATTAAAAGATAAAATGCAGCATATATTATATCACATATGTCATCTGCTGATCATAAAAAAACTGTACCATATATGATACTGTGAACCAACTTTAATTCGTGTGCGAGAAATATTCGTGAGTTTCTCGACCTACTTTAACTCACGAAAATTAATCGCCGCAAACCATTTATTTTGCTTTGTATTTGTAGAGAATGTTTCCTCAGTCGCGAAAATTGATCGTCGCAGATTTATTTCAAACTGATGAATCGCAAATAAAAGTTGACTCGAATTGTAGTTGGTTTGCAGTATAGAAAATTTTATCCACCCTTGTGAAAACAAATTTTTCTACATAGAGATATGATTTATAACTACTTCTCGCTGGAGTTAATCTTACATGCAATACACTATAACTAATTTTTTTTATAAAATTATTTTCATTTATTTAATGGGATAATCAACTGTCTCCCCTTGCTTTTGCCTTCATTGGATAATTAATCTGTGTACTGATTGGCTGAAATGATCACGACTTACCTTGCTGCTGATTTTATTGGATGCCACTTTTGTCCCCGTTTTCCAGTTCCATACATTGACCATCATGTCATGTTGTGACCCAATAGACACCAGATATTTCAGGGAGGGGGAGAATTTCTACAACACAAAACTTAAAACTTTTTAAAGGTGTAAATTACTTTGTAAACTAAGCAGAGCTGCCAACATTATAAAATGATAAATCTTACAGTAAGGGTGCAGGAACTTCGTAGGACACCATCAACTGGTGATTTTTTTATTTTTTTATTTTGGTGAATGGATGTTTTGTATATGAATTTTTCCTTTTTTTTTTGACTTACTTTCAATTCACTTTAATCTTGGACTTAAACATAATGTGCATCAAATATCTTAAAATTTAGATATGGGTTAATTGTTTAATATATTTACATTAAAAAAATTTTAACTGTTCATTTTGCATAGATTACATATAAACATCAAATGATTATTTATTCCAAGACAATCTTTTGAAGAACAAAGCAGTGAAATGATGGGGATAGATTTTGAGATTTAGGCATAATTTTTTTAGATGCAATAAAATTATCCAGTCATTTACTTACAACACAAACAATTCCAAACTTATGTCCATGGAATTCAGCCACCTGTGTTTTCTCGGCCACATCCCAGACTCGCACGGCTGGCTGGTGACCACTCTGCAATAGAAAAGAGAATCGGTGAAACTTATAAGTCAGTGGTTCACTATTCTTCAAGCATGATTGGATCCCATGGATGACTATTGGTAACTTATTCCAGATATAGACTCCTCAATGATAATAGGAGACAATATAAGCCCAAAGAACATATATCTTACTTTTCTCACGTAAACATGACCCCGTGGAAGAAACTTCAGGTTCTTGCATTCTGTTCTTATATTCAATTATATATACATGTTCGCTGAGAAAATTAACTGATACGTCTAGTTAATTAAACTTTTTAGCTACAGCATACCTAAAATTGCTATAATTTATAGAAATTTGGAAATAAAAAGTTGTGAAGAAAAATAAAATGATTTTATGTACATTGCAAAATTAGAAGTGTATCTCTCAGTAACTACTGAAAGGTATTAAAAAAAGTTTTGCAATCATGGTAATTCCTTTATTATAGTCATAATTATGAACATGATGAAGAAGGAATTTGTGGTGCAATTAATTTTTTTCAGGACAATTTCAATAAAATAGTCTTATTAAATGTAAAATATCATATATGTACTATGTACAATATAATAAATACATAGGCGTCGGAACCGGAGGAATGGGGTGGGGCTTAGTCCCCAAACGTTTTTTTGTTGGTTTAGCCCCCCCCCCCCCCCCCTTTTCAATTTGCTTCCAATAACTTCCAATCACAATCACCTATGAACTATGGACTTCGATTTTTTTTGTGTGCTTAAGTACTGAACTATTTATCTTTATACACACTTAATTCATTCAACTTAAAATCATGAAAATGGGATAAACTCCTGTTTCAAACTTGCCAAAATATATTTGGTCCCAAGTTCTACAGAGTTCCTTGTATAAAGTTTCAACTGTATTTCAGCTCTGTGTGTTAGAAATTTTTGTGCTTTAGTGGCAAAATTCCTCCCCTCTTATCTGGAAGAATGCTGAAATTTAAATAACTTAGATTTTGAACCAGGAAGTATAAAGCACCTGACAGGTAGATAACTGGCTAGTCACATGATCAGAGTAAACAGAAAGAGGCCGTGCACTGGGCGGTCGCCATTATTGTCTCCTAAAAAGCAGGTAGGTTTATTCCTTAAGAATATATATATTTTCTAATTTTTCAAAATGACAACAAATCAGATTTTTTTTTTTCAAATACATTCTTTCATCATTGGAATGAAATTTCACTATTTTTGTAAGCATTTCTTTATTAAGAATTTCTTTCTCAGTGGCTTGTCCTGTTTACATACACTTACATACATTTTACATATCTGTAGTTGGTCATTTTAACTTCTTCAATTATTCTATGATTTTCACAGCCATTTTTTGGCTTATCAAAATAAGAACAAATTACACTAGTCATATTAACTCTACAGCAGAAAATCTTGGAAGATTGTTTCCCATTCTGATTCAGTTTTAAAATGAACTCCTGTGCTTAACCTTTGAAAAACTGACAAGGATTAATTCATCATAGGAACCAGCCTTATATATTCAACTGTTAATTTTAGGTATGAAATATATTTCTGTAACATTTTTGTTTTATCTCCTATTTTATTTGTCAATAAATATTCACAAGGATTTTTGTATATTCAAGAGATAAAACGTCTAATCATGGACCCCCGTACCAGTGCCCAGGACGTGATGCGATGTGACCTGTGTGAGACCGCTGTGGTACAGATGCACTGTGATACATGTCTTGTCAACCTTTGTAAGGCCTGTGTGGGAGAACACATGATATCTGATGAATCCAAGAAACACGAAATTGTCAAATTTCAGTCCAGAAAATCCACTCCCCTCTACCCTGGGTGTAAAACTCATAGCAAAGAGAGATGTGAAATGTACTGCAATCAATGTGACATTTCTGTTTGCAACATTTGCATTGCATCTGATCAACATATAGGTCATAAATTTTCAACAATTTTGCAAATTCTGGATGAAAAAAAGAACAAAATAATCAAAGAACATACCGAATTGAAAGATACAATTTATCCAACCTACCAGGACATTGCCTCTGATGTACAAATAAGAATGAGTCAGTTAGAAAAGGAATATGGAGATCTCTCAACAGCCATAACAAAACATGGAGAGGACTGGCACAGAGAAATTGACAAACTTGTCAAAAAACTTAAAACTGAAGTTGATGAGATGAAAAACACACAGTTACAAACTCTACAGAAACATCTGGATGAAATAAACAAGAAAATGTCTGACATCAAGGATGAAATCAATGCAGTTGATGTCACCATAGACTCTAATGACTTGTCAATACTGTTCAGTGCTAAATTCAATGTAGACAGATACAAAAAGCTTCCACAAAAAATTGTGCCATCTATGCCTAAATTCATGCCTGGAAAAATTCAAGAAAAAGAACTTCATAAAATGTTTGGTATGTTAGCACTAAGTTCTCACACTTCAGATGAACATCGTTACAGTATGAAGATATCACCATTAGAAGCTGGATCCTCTCCTCCAGTCAAACAGCTGCTTGATGAACCAGAGACTGTCACCACCATAGACACTGGGTATAAAGATTACCTTTACAGTGTGGCCTGTCTGAGTGATGAAGAAATCTGGACAAGAGGAGATGACAACATCATGAAACTCTACAGCATCAATCAGGGATCACTACTCAAGTCAATCACAACCAAGTCAGGGAACATACCAATAGACATAGCAGTGACAGAAAGTGGAGATCTAGTTTATACTGATTGTGATGATAGAACTGTGAACACTGTGAAGAATGAGAAGACAGAGGAGGTGATTAGACTACAGAACTGGAAACCTCTCAGTGTCTGTTGTACCTCCTCTGGTGACCTCCTGGTTATCATGTACAGTGATAATTACAAACAAACAAAAGTTGTCCGTTACTCTGGCTCCACAGAGAAACAAACCATTCAGTTTGATGATAAAGGTAAACCTCTCTATTCATCTGGTCGTTATAACAGATACATAACTGAGAACAGGAACCTGGATATCTGTGTGTCTGACTATGGAGCTAGCGCAGTAGTGGTGGTCAATCAGGCCGGGAAACTGAGATTCAGGTACACTGGACATACTCCTGCTCCTAAGAACGAACCATTCAGTCCACGAGGAATCACCACAGACAGTCAGAGTCACATCCTTACAGCTGATATTAACAATGACTATGTCCACATCATAGACCAGGATGGACAGTTCCTCCGTTACATAGACTGTGGACTGAGTTATCCCTGGGGACTGTGTACAGATACAAATGACAATCTGTTTGTTGCTCAATGTGGAAACAGACAAGTGAAAAAAATTAAATACCTGCAGTGATGATACTGTATTGTATAGCATGGTATAGTCTAGTGAAATAAGGATAATTCATATGATTCTACATTCACAGGAGATTAGTTATACATGTAGGTAGTCATATTCCTTGTCTTGTCAAAGCTGAATATATCAAATGATGAATTTATTAACGTGTGTTTGATATTAATGTAACATATTTTTTCCAAAGACTATGTCCTAATGTAACCTACTCTGATACAGCATCAGGAAAGTTTGCTGATATGTAGCTATAGATAAATATGTCCAGGAATACTACAGCTTTATGTAGTATGATAAATATAAATATGTCCAGGAATACTACAGGTTTATGTGTGCTAAATCATTTGAGATACATTGTAACTTTTTCTACTAACCTCTCCCAAAGATTGCATACTTCACCCACAAAACATCCCTATTATCACAATGTTCCAAATTATGATAATCTTCAACACTTTTCAATTAAACAAAATAAAATCATCAACATTGTTTTTTACTTTTATAATATATGTAATTCATCAAATGATAAAGATCAGAGCAGCCCTGGGTTATTATCTATTTGTAGACATTGACAAGTCATGCTTTCTGGCAATAAATATACTAGTGTAAGTGTACTCTAAGTTAAAGATGTATGCTACATACACCAAAAATTTATTTACTGGATCTTTAAAACACATCTTGTGTAAAAATTGGTTTAATTGTGTTATTTGCAAGTAAGATGCTTTTATTAGAGTTTAAAATTTTTTGTTAATCAACATGTTAATAAATGCACAATATAAATATCTTTAAAAAAAAAAATGTCAAGAAAAGTCAGATACCGGTAGACATTTGATTTTTTTTAAATAAAGAAATACGAATATAATTTTTACATTTTCTCTGAAAAAATACAAAAAAAAAATTAATTAAAATAATCAAAAGTTAAATATTTAAGAGCTAATATTGGTCTTTTCATGTTGAAACCATATTTCCATACAGATGTCTAGAAGATTCCTTAAATTTTAGTGTAGCATAAATAGACTAAAGGTTTATAAAGGTTACATACATGTGATAATTTTTAGACCCAAATACTGTACAGGAGTCTTCAAAATACTGGAATTTGGGGGAAAATAATGTACATTGTTCATCAAAAACTGTACAAAAACTGTACAAAATATCGACCAAAAATCAATGTAAGAGTTTAATTTTTTATTAATAAATTTCAAATCAAGGAACAAGTGTACCACAGCATGCAAGGGTATATGTAATTACTTATTTCAAGAAACTTTTGCAGCTTTAACAATTTCAGCAATCTCCATTGTCAATGCTGAATTTTGTAACAAAAAAGACTTCCATAGTGTTTTATGCAAGAGTCTAATCATCTCCAGTCATCTGCATTTTTTTAATGATACTATAAGCATTTCTCTTACTATGTGTAAGAATGGACAATACTTTTGTCTAAGCAGAGCAAAAACAGCCATGGATTAAATTTTGTGTTGTTGTCACACATTTGCTCTGATTCTCATCTTTTTCTCTTTGAAGTGTCTTTCTACTGACAACATTTTAACAAATAACAACTGAAAACCCCCTTATAAAAACAATATTCCAACCTAAGAAAAAACTTTGATATGTTTTAATTACAATCTACTAATTGTGGGAATTTTTCACACCTTTCAATCATAATGTTTTGTTTACATTAACCAAGTACAGTAATTCACATATCAAATGAGATTTCAGGTGTTCTGAGAGCGAGAATTAAAGAAAAATGGCAGTTTCCGGTAAACAATTCAAAATACGGGATAAATTTTCATTTCCCGTATGAGGTTATCTCCCATGCAGAAAGAAAAACCAGTAGATATTTTGGATATTTTTACTATGTTTACCTCTTTGAATGTACTACTTGCTAAACTAAATTGAATGTTGATTAGATCACTTTGGTTTAACCTGCTCTCTGCAAAGAAATTATCATGATTATATTTACCACTCAACATGCTCAAAGAGCAATTTATTGATTAACTTAGCTTATTTCATATTAACAAATTGTTAATCTTACAACCCCAGTAAAAGTTGATGTTACATTCACCTCCCCTGTAACTGTTTTTTATTGGTATTTACACTTACCTCCCCAGTAACAAGTTGTTTGCCATCAGGAGAAAAAGCTAGTGAGGTGATGGTCTTCTTTGAAGTATTAAAGATGTGGGACTGTTTATTACGTCGAGGGTTGAATAAAACCACCACACATCTGAAAAATAAAACTCATGTCAGAAAATATTTAACAAGTCGTATCACCTAATAAAGGCTCTCATGGAGGAAGGTGGGTGCAGACCCCCATTCTTACTTTTTGTTAAAATCTTGTATCTTTTGTATGAACTGCTAGGGACACTCATTCCCTTGCTTCCCTACCCTTGAAGTGAGGGTGAAAAAAATGCATTAGGGAGTGAGAAGGACAAGCCAAAGAATAGAGTGTAACAATGTTACAGACTGAGAAAGTGGGGAGGACAACATGAGGAAAAGAGGTAACAAGGGCAAGAAAGAGAGGGAGCTAAAACAATATAGAAACCTTTAAATCAATTCTGCTCTCATTTGCATTCTCGCTCATTTGAATATCTAACTTGTGATTTCAATCCTCCCCTTTGTTGCCCCTACTCCCTCACATTGTCTCCCTGGCATTCTCAATCTCTCTTGCTATTGCCCTTCCCCTCTAACCCTTGGAGAAGTGAGTTATAAGGGATACTTACAGTACAACAATGCTTAAGTTAAATAAAAAATCTGTTAGTATTTTATAATTTTAGAAGGATTTGTTTGCATCTCTCTTTGTGAATGCTAGATATTGTAAAATCATATATTTTTGATGGGTTTGAAGAAAAAATGTTGACAGACTATTTAACGACTGCTACCATTGAAGGAATTGGCCACTGATGCAGAAAAAAATATAACTTGGTCCGACTGACACAAAATTTGTCGGCCCACGAAAAAAGAGGTCAAAATCGGGCAAGTCAACAGCCAATGAATTGCCGACTGTCGCCTGAAAAATCCTATTTTTGCCTAAAAAACTGTCGGCTGTCAATTGTTTTTGGAAATGTGACTGGGGTTGAAACAGTCACCTGAGTTGACAGCATTACATGTATCATGAATACTGTTAGTTGTACCTATTCTAACTTTGCCCATTTAGGCAAGGATTCAGCCAAATTCACTCTGAAAAATTATCCAGGAAGGTAGCCAAAGCTTTAAATTACAGTAAAACAATTGTATGCTTATAGTGAAGTGCTGAATAAGGGACAAATAGTTCTGATTTGTTACATTAACCTTTAATTACTTCACTAGTTCATAAAGTACATCTTCTAACTACAGGGAATGAAAATCACTTCTGAATCACTGTAAGCAAAAATTCATTATATCATAATAATATGCCTGAGAAAAAAATTAATTTGAAAAAAAAAAAAAATTCAATGAAAAAAAAAATCAAATTCAACACTCAAGAAGTTACACAAAATAGTCCTATATTCAATGAAAGATAACTCTAACTTAAACTCATTGACAATACATCAAAGGGAGGTTTATATTAATTTTAAAAGTATGTTCACTGTTCAGTAATCATGTTTTCCTGTAATTGCAATTGCATGTACCCCATTCAACAAAATTAAACTCACAATATTCATTAAATTACTGCAGTTTCATGAGGAAAGGATAAATCAACACCAATACCCCTAAGCATGGGAATTTTATTTGAATATCACAGCTAGCTTACAGGTATTCCTAACAAATGACAAATAAAAGCAAATTTCAAAGGAGCTTTTTAAATATCTGCTTTGATGCATAATGAAACACCATTAATAATGGAACTCCACGCTGTATAGTTTCAGATTTACCTCCCTTGCTATGCCTCTTCAATATTTTTCAATTATCTAAGTTTATTGCGATCGCCTAGTGTGGTCAATAATTTAATAAACATAATGACATTCCAGCTCAAAATCCAACCAACTATAAACACAATGGGATCATCTGGTTACATTCCAATACACACACAGACTCAAAATACAGGGAATTAACATTATTAACAACTGGTGTACAAGACACAGAAAGACAGACTTAAAATACACTTAATGTAGGTAAATAACCACCATTGTACAATACACCAGACTTGTTGAAAACCTTTGGTCCTGTCGGCAAGGCCGGTAAAAAATTTTCTGGACTGATAACTTTCATGAAAACGTCGGTCCAAATGACCATTTAAAAAATTTGAGTGTGACGCAATTTTTAAAAAAGATCAGGATCAGGGTGCAGGTAATAAACCATTGGTTGTACAATACACAGACAGACAGACGGATGGACAGACAGACTCAAAATACAGGTAATGAACCATAGGCGGTACAATACACAGACAGACTCAAAATACAGGTAATTAACTACAGGTGTGTAAAATACACAGACAGACTCAAAATACAAATAATTATCCACAGGTGTGTACAATACACAGACGGACAGACTCAAAATACAGATAATCAACCAAAGGTGTGTACAATACACAGACAGACAGACTCAAAATACAGGTAATTAACCATTAGTGCTTTGCGATATTACCGGTTAACCAGTGTAACCCGATTTCGTTCTTCAAAATACGTATCACGGTAATTTTTTTGTGAATACCGGTTCAGGTTTGATATGAGCACTATAAAATGTTACAAAAGAGTTACTTGCCCTTTTTAAAGTGTATTATGGAGGCATATGACGCGAAACGTGATCATAAACGAAAAGACAACAGCAATTACATGAAACCTAGATAGAATGTTCTATCGTTAAAATAATAAGTATCCTACAGACCCGGTTTGTGGTAAGGGCCTGTCCCGAGACACAGTTAGATTATTCCAACTACTTGTGCCACCACAACGTGAGCAGGCAAAGTCAATATCAACTCGAGAATACATTCTATTTGCATTTGTGTTTTCATTTAAATGGGGAATTTAAAGCAAAATTGATTATGAATTTATATTGTGATATATTGCAATACAAAAAGTAAATATTGCAATATATCGCGATACGATTTTTCAGTAGCGATTCCCAGCACTATTAACCATAGGTTGTGCAATACACAGACATTAAAATACAAATAATTATCCACAGGTGTGTACAATACACAGACAGACTCAAAATACAGATAATTAACCACAGGTATGTACAATACACACACAGACAGACTCAAAATACAGATAATTATCCACAGGTGTGTACAATACACAGACATACAGACAGACAGACTCAAAATACACTTAATACAGGTAATTGACCACAGGTGTGTACAATAGGACATTCTGAACTTGTGAAAGCTGGGCAATACACAGAAAAGGTAAAACACCACAGGTATATACCTGGCATGACCTAAATACCATGTACTTAACAGGTCAGATATTGTCATTGGGTTTACTAATTAGACTGTGTGGGGTACATACCCAGCTAAACACCATTATTGTCAGAGGATTGTAAATGATGTAAAAATAAAGGTCTGCAGTAAAATAACTTCATCGTGAATGCACTATTGTGACCAGTGACCATATCATTGTTTGTCATTGGCTGACTCAGCACATTTCTGTCATTCTGGTACAGTTTTATCATGTTTATAGGTCTACACTATCTAAGTAAATTATCACCAAGTCAAAATTCAACTTTTCCTCTGTCTGTCATAGTAGAGAAGCAAGGGGAGGCTGAAACATCCTATATGTATAGCATGCATAGTAACCTGAATGAAGGTTTTTTTTTGTCATGGCATGAGAGAGAATTCTTCATGTGATGTAACAACCATAAAAGGGTATAGATCATTTAATTATTCAACAGAACTGAGAAGTGTAATTAGTACAAGGTAGCTATATATATCTATTATATACTGATACAAAAATTCAAGTAAAGAGAATAGCTGGTCTTGTGTAATTCTGCTCTCACTCTACATGCTGTACTAATCTGTTCACTAAAGTTCAGAACCTCAGCCCTCCTAATACAACGAACAGTTCTGCAGAGTCAGCTGTGGTCGGTGTCAAGTCATCCATATTTATTCAATATACTTAATATTTGACATTGATGTACAACTGTTACATGGCTGTAATCACACTTTATGAGGTTTACAGGACACCTGTTACATAGGACTAAGAATACTAGAACTTAATATACAAAGATCACAACAACTCAAAAGATACAAATCCTATATACCAGGACACCTGTTACATTGCAGCAGTTACAGTCTTCCAGATAAAGACTTCTCCCAGGATACAAATCCTAAAATCCCCAACCCACCTGATAAAACTAAGAAAGGGGAACTGACCAAAATCAATCAAACTGATTTAATACTCAGGAAATTCATAGCTGTCTTAACTTTTAAGGAAATCACAAGATGATTTCATTGTAGGTTCAGACCTCTGAGTGAGGTAAAGATCATTAACTTGTTCATGTTCAGATGGTCATAAACAGAACATTTTATGGGATTTTGTCTGTATGTGATTTGACATGGATCACAAAAACCTGTTTGACAAGATCTGAAGGAGACAGGGGTATAGTATTGCAGGTAACACAGGTAATCACCTGTCTGCCCAGGTAAATCAAGGTATCACTAACGATCAAAAGCTCTCTCACTTTCCGGGGTCTGATGTCAAAGATAGGGGATTCCCTTACAGCGAAGAAACCAGACACTGTAAACAAACTTCTCATATAACAAGTAAATATACAGGTTTCCTCGACCCAGAATTCTGATGATTGTGTACATTAGTAAACATGCAGTCAACTGCATCACTCAAAAAATCTTTCCCATTTTCCTCAATACAAGCATCAAGACTGTTTTTTTTCCTTGGCACTCAAAGGCTTGATGCCTGAAATATTAACTTTAAATTGATAGGTATGTCATTTTTTCTGTTACAAGGTTAGGTGAATATTTATAAAGTCCATTCACATGATGAAGGTTAATAAAATTTATGGAAAAGTGACATTCCACATGTTCTTATTGAACTTCTTACAAAAAATGATGATAAATGGAAAGTTAACCTCACTGAGGAGTATGTCACCTTTTCTGCTGCAGATGTAGTTAAATGATCATTATACACACTGTATACATCAGCCATTTTTCAGAGAAACCTGAATTACTGTAATTAGAAGTCCAGTGATTCATGACAACTTGCTGGCGTACAAGGTAACTAGTGACTAGACATACACACCCTGCAGGATAAGCGATGGTCCCCGTGTTGAGGTCACAGGTCAAGGTCGCATTGGTGCTGACTGTCAGACCTATCACACGCTCTAGGCTTACCTACAAAAAAATGACATAACTGCTCATCATCCACAGTACTTACTTATATGTGACTAACAATACACTACTATTATAATTATTAAATAAATGTCTTTATATTCCCCCTTCATTTACATGATTAATGTCCAAATAGAATTACTGTAACAAATTTGAAAAACAGATATAAACCATTTTTCTTTTTGACTTAAATTAAAGACTTATATGTTGGCTAGATCTTGCATTGCATCAGTCGTGTAGTTTACAACATGAAGAATATTATGAGTTACTGAAAAAAGAAAACATGAATTTCATCACATATAACTTCAAAATGTTAAGTATTCAAAGCAAACTATTGAAATTTAAAACTTTTTAAATTTGTTTTCAATTTATCAATGAAACAACTTTAAAATCTCCTCTTGACTGCTTCACATAATTAAAAAGAAGTTTTAAACCTTTTTTTTTTAAATCAGGCTATAAACCTCATGCAGTTGGACACAATTGGCATGATCAAATGCAACAGTTGCAGATTATCAAACTCACAAATGTGGGGTTTTATGTGTAAAATTCACTCAAAACTAAAAATCAAAATTTCTCAAAATGTTAAAGATCAATGGTAAAAACAAGTCCACAACACACCCTACCTCTCTGAGTATCTGTTTCTGGAAGTAGAGATCAGACTCCATGTTGGTGATGCATTAGTTAATTACACAGATAGACTGGTATTTTTTAACATATACTCCTCATTTTTTTGTAGGTCCTCACAATCAACCATAATCAACATAATCAATACAAGTGGGGGAATGTCATGGACAGAAGACCAAAATATTCTATTAACATGATTATTATGTTCCTGATCTCCTTTCTTCTAAATTTTATGTTTAACTCCCTTCTCCCTTTACATATGTACATTTAATGAATAAATTCCTTGTAATGGAATCTATTGGAGATTGCCAAAATTTCTCAAAAGACAAGCTTTAAATTTTATAATTTGTGTTCCATGTACAAGATGTATATTTCAGGTTGAGCATATTCTTAGTGATCAAATGCATTACAGTACCCCTAGAATTTGAAACAATGTACATTTGCACCATGTCTGTCTAATATATACAAGGCCAAAATAACAAATACCTTTGTTTCCCCTAACGCGACCGACCCAATTAAAACGCGCTGACTGGAAAGTTTTTCTCATAAGATTATTCCAATATTTTTTTTTATGTGTATCAACTTTTATAAAATAGAATTCCATCAAAATCCGTTTTTATCAGAACGACTGATTTTGTTCTGTGATTTTCAAGCGTTTGTTGGAAACAAAATGGCACCCACAACATGTCTTGGTCACGGAGCTGGGTTAGTTCATGTTTTAATAGAAAGACGACGTATCAACCTTATGCCTTTAGTATATAAGAATCATACACTCTTGAAATGTTAATAAAAAAATATATACAATGACCTATTAATATAAGCGTGCTTCAGTTGAATTTACAATCTGTCATAAAATGAAGTATGTAGCGATCATGCTTAGCCCCGTAGGCCCTCCTCATGATACCCCTCATGAACAAACCATCAATTTCACTGCATTTTATTTAATTTGAGTTTTGATCTTATAAAGAGTTCATCAATATTTCTATGTTTAATACATGTATATGGGACCATAAGAGTTAAGTCTGCATATTTCATCCTAATGAATAGAATTCAAAGGTCCTTTCTTCATGCCTTTTTTTTCATAGGTTAAACGTCATGACTTTGACATTGTGTATGTCATTTTATCATTTTTAGATATAAGTTGTCTCAATTAAATATGGTCAACATACTTTTTCCAAATAGATTTGAAATTACGATACAAGCTTCCTTTAAGACGTCCGTGTATTTTTCTTTAATAAGGCCCTTGAATTCAAGATTGGTTGTTTCTTTGATTTGAATTCCTTTGATAATTATTGGGACAACAACATTTATTTAAACATATGTCTGGTGAAGGGCTCCAAACTTAGACTTGTAAGCGGCATTTTAGGCCATTGAGCAATGAGGGATCGTGCTAGTATCTACTGCGACACTGGACCCAAGTTTTTATGGTCTCTTTCGATGAACCGGTTTCAACATCCAGCATTGGGTTTTGAACCCGCAACTTAGAAAATAGCTCCTTACTTCGATATTCCAAAACGAAATGCTTTAGAACCACTGCACAGATCGAAGCCCTTGAAAAAGTACATTGCATGTTTAAGCACTGGAATCTGATAGTAAGTATGAAAAAATACTCGGATGTCCGGTCTTTGCATACCCGAGAATCTTTTTAACAGATTTATGTATTCAATTTCAACAAATTTACTCTGGTATGAGATATTTCACAAGTTCGATTGAATAATAGTTGTGAATTAATTCATCTTAAATGTTAGTCTAAACGGCATTTGTATGGCATTCTAACTGTTTACAAATGGCTTTCTTTGCACTTAACTTATTTATAAGGGTATTATTCCATTTAATTTAAGAATGTATTTTCAAAGCTGCTGTCAAAAAAAAATTATTTGCCTACCTACCTACCCAACTTGAGGTTTTTGGGTCGGGTTAGGGGAAACAAAGATATTTTTAATGATGGCCCAAGTTAAACAAGTGTACCGATCATAAGACAATCATGCTATCTGAATACAGTCAAGCATAATTGACATCTCAAACATGGGGGCTGTAAAAAAACATGAGATTTCCGAAACTTTGAGATATTGAAGGGTATAGACTCTTATTAGCATTTCTAACTCATTTCATTAACATACCCCAAGTATTCCACATATCTATACACTCAGCGTGTTCCCTTTATTTCAAAGTACAGTGTTAGAGATCAATTGTAACAGGCAAGGGGTTGAGGTCTATGAACAAAATCTTTATAGACCTTGAGCATGTTACAATTATTTTTTAAATTTTTGATTTTTAAGCGGCATTTTTATCGGCTGAACTGGTCGATTTTGCTGGTAGCCGGTTCTTATAGGGAAAACACTGTACACTCAAGATACATAGGTTCAGCTGCCCATAAATCCCACTATATTCACAGCAATTTTATTAACCTTCAACATGTTCAACAGATAGTAAATTCATAAATGTTGGGCACAACCTTTTCCTATTTTGTTTTTATTTAAAAGTCAGTATGTTCAAAACCTACTTAATCATGTGTTGATTATTAGTGCTCTTTTTTTCAGAGGATATATAGATGAATGAGGAGTCTACAATTCTGACGAGAGCATTTTTACCCCCAAAGTTTCACTCTAAAATGCTCAGTCATATCCTTGCCTACCCAGTTCTAAAGAAGCATGCATCTATAGGTGCAGAAATATTAACATATATTGATTAAAGTGTTTGTACTTTCTGCCAAAGAAAACATAGCGATGCAATGTTATTAATGGAGATGTACATCATATGCTGGGTGCAGGAGATCAAGGTGACACTTCAGTATAAACAAAACTCCAAAAAGACGTTCCCAAATTACCCACAAAGTGTGTTATGACTGTTATCTTTGTAACACAGAGAGCAGATGTTCCTCTGTAACACTGACAGAATTAAACACCAAGCAGATAGAGACACCTCACAGTGTCAACAATGGGATAAGATAGTCGTATATATTTATACAAGGTCTGTCCCTGCATTAGATAGATACTTGTTCATGTATTTCATGTGCACTCTTTTGGTGGGTATCAGCTCTTCTGGTTTTACAGAAAATATCTATACAGTTGTCAAACCTCAAACATATGTTCAAATAAAAAATGTTGTTTGTGTTGGTGGTGTTAGAGGGGGGAGGGAGGGATGGAGAAGAGGGGGTGCATGCTGGTGATCGAAATAGGATGCATGCCCTTACAGAAATTTATGATAAGTGACTTATAAGTGATTTATTCTTTTACTTATAAGTTGTTTATACTAGACTTATACTTCACTGATACATTTAACTTATAAGTGACTGATTAGTGACTCACTAGGATTTTATAAGCAAATGAGGTGCTTGACTTATAAGTGACTTATAAGCCAAGTATTAGCCACTTTTGCTTTATGCAAGTATAGTCACTTATAAGTGACTTATAAGTCAAGTATTAGCTCTTCATACTTTATCAAGTATGAGTCACTTATAAGTGAAGTACAGCACTGCCTTTAAAGATCTTAATTTAGAACAGAACTTCAAATCATGCAGAGGTTGCATGATGTTCAAAGTTTTTTTTTTTTTTACATATGCATCTGCACCTAAGTTGAAATAATTAAGTTAACATTTTATGGGGGAAAAAATCCCTCTCATATGGCATTCTTTGATGATGCAAACTTTATATATTATTTCAGTTCACCAACAAAAATGTTGGACAAAAAGAATCAATTAAGATTTAATGACCTTCAGGCTTCTTCAAATTTATGAAATCTGAAAGCAACTGAGTCAATTGATTCAAAATTTCAGGCAAGGGAAGTTAAAATAAAAACATGATGTGAATAGAACCTACTTGTTGAACCTGATGTGAAGGCATACTCAAAATAAATTTGAAATCTCCAACAACATCCTTTCACAGAGACTAACTTAGTTTCAAATTCTTGTTGTTTATCTCTGCAGAGACAAAGTTTCTGATTGGTTAGCTTGAATACCCAAAATGCAACTCAAGAGAAGTCTAGTATAATGTAAAAAGTCTAAGTCCACGCTTATTCTGGCTAATACAATACTGATCTTCACTTATAAGTGAAGTTTAAGTGAAATATTCACTGATATTTGGCTAATCTTCACTTATAAGTGAAGTATTAACAAAATATGTTCCTCACTTATACTTACTTTGACTTATAGTTCACTTATAAGTAAATTTCAAAACTTATAGGTGACTTATAAGTAGATTATAAAACACTTATAAGTTTCTATTGGGTTTTTTCTGTAAGGGCATGTACATAGCATGAAAAATGTGTACACTATTTGCATGTTATGTAACAGGAAAGGAGAAAAATGCGACAGACCCAGTCCGCTTGTTCAAATCCTGGTCTGGTCCATCATATTTTCTCCCTCGCCACTTATATTTAGTGCCCGACCATGCCCTAGCTGGACAAATGCTCTGTGACTGCAGGTGAAAGACCTGTCAGAGAGGAGGGGCCTGGGTTGGTGTCTCTGGGTGTGAAGACTTTTAAGGAAGGAGGAATGTGGTGGTCAGACGGGTTCGGTCATTGGTGACCAGATAACTCAGGTGGTAAAGCACCTGACTCATAGTGATTCAGGGGGCCCGGGTTTAAATCCTGGTCTGGTCCATTGCATTTTTCTCTTTTCCTGTCGCTATGAAATACAAAGGTGGGGAAGATTTTCAATATGTAAATTAATAATTTCTTGATATATTATCAACATGATCATGAAGTTCCTCAGCACGAAAAAAAAAACCCAAACCTAAACATGCTAATAGAATAATTCTAATGTTGGTATTAAACAATGATTTCACTGACAAAGATGTATTTGCTTGTAAAACAAGGTTTAGTGTTGTTAGACATTTTATTAAATTAACATTGGATATCTTGCACTTCAAATGTTCAGTTTACTTTTACAGAAAAGGTCATTTTTTACCTAGATGTATATGATCCCTATTTACATCCACAGAATACCATATCCTTTTAACCCTTGCGAAAACCATGGTCCCTTAGATTTCTTGACCAGTGGCTCTTCCATCAATGAAACATACAATGGCTTATACATCAATAATACAATGTTTTAAGGTCTTAGATAAATCCCTCTTCATTTGATTATTCATACAGACATTAATTTATTGTTTATAAACAATAAAATGTCCCCCTTCGTTTGTTAGTACATGTAATATGGGAATTAACATTGCAGCTATTGCACAAAATATTTACATAACCCTGAGCTTAGTAATTTCTTTTCTGCAATAGCTGCAACATTTATTCCTCCACTAACAACCACAGAAATTAATATTGTTCAAATAAATAAAACATTTTTACAACATCTAACTGTACATGATAACACAGTCTGTGTCCTAGAATTAGTAAAATTCAGGGACATTATGGAATCATAATTTAATCATAATTTAATGAATTAACAAGATAAAGCACAAATATTTTGTTGCTATTTATTTTTTCTTGCTTGGATACTTGATTCACTCTTACTTGAATCAAAGAAAAAGGTCATATTAGTGAAATTCATATACATGTACTAGAGTATGAGGTGAAATTACTTGTATGATTTCAACATTCTTTCCTAAAAATTGCCTAACATATGACATTGCAGTAAGGAAATTATCTCTTAACAATTTGAAAAACAAGCTACTGTATCAGGAAATATTAGAATTTTAAATTTATAGAGAGGCCCTGTAGGAATGATAAGACAAAAATTTGCATTTAAAAAATTTGTTCTTGACTGCAAATGAATTGGAAAATTTATTTTGTATCAGAAACTTAAAGCTAAGAAGCTTTTTTATTAAATTGGACAGTAATTAAAGTAATTAAAGAATAAGTTAAAAATTTAAACAAAACTTTGTAGAAATAAGAACTGAAACCCTGAATAAAGGAAGCAACACTGAGTATTCATACACTACAATGACACTATGAATGACCTATAAATAGGTGACAGAAGACAAAAGCCAGTATCCACCTAGACATTCCTGTGGTAGAACATTAGAACCAAGGTGAAAATCCAAAATAAGGTCAGGAGGCAGAATTGGGCCAGTGTCCGGCCTGATTTAGGGGGATACCTAAGTAAACAAACTAGCCATTGATAGCCTTGCATACAACTCGGGACTATATTTGTGTTTCAGTTTTATGTATACAATACTGCCCATGAAAAGACTTGCTTATTATCAGGCATACAAAAAAGGTCTTAATGATAACACAGAAGGTGGAATACACTTCAAGTAGTTCATATTCAATAAAGCAAGAAATACCTAGTATAGGTGTAATTATACAAACAGGTAATTCTGTGTGTTTAAACAGCCCAATCACCTGAGGGGTTGAAATGAAGAGTGGTGGGTCGATAGTATCGTCTGACGGAGAGCTGACCCTGGGGTACGTTACTTACTTTACGGAGTGCAGCAGCTGATGAGGATCGGAGTGCAGCACGAGGCATAATTCCTGTCACATTAAATCTCCATCACCATGATCAACAGACAAAATATTCCTGCTACCGGTTCACAGTCCTAAACAGCTGGCTAAGATATCAGACTCTGCCCTGCATACACAGCAAAAAAAGTCAATTCCCTCATAATCTTAGTTGTAAAATATACACCTGATTAAATCACATGAACATCTGTCATGACAAGTGACAAAATAAACAAGCTGTTTAACATATATCCAATATACACATTTTAACAATGAATTCCTTGAATCATCATCTACTGTATCCCCACTCTACAGTAGTCTTGGACTGTCACAGTGGTAATACACACCAGGGGTAATGTACGCATCTCGTCATCTCCAATCAGATGGGACCGTCCGGTTATCATGTTTATCTTCAGGGCACATGCTATTGTTGTGAATTTGTATGAACAGGTTTAAGTCGCTAATTAATGACAGATCCCTTTTTCTTACAGTATAAGACAAGCTTAGATGGGCAGTGAAGTCATGTGTAGCTGTCTCTACATATGTCTATCAGGTGTTAGGATGTACATATAGAGCAGAAACATCTACCTAGGGACTGTCACAAAATTTACTATAATTCATAAAATTAAGGGACTGTCACAAAATTTACTATCTGATACATTTCAGGGACGGCCCTCAAATACAATAAATTAATCAATGATACACATTATATTAAGCCTTGGATGGATTGTAAAAATATTTTACTACATTTATCACAACAGAATCAAAAGGAAGCATTCAACAGATGACCCTATAAATTTTGTCAGAACTTGACAGTCAAATTTTCTTGTCAGATTACATCGTAAGGCTTAAAAAAAAAGCTTATTTAACATATTTAATTTATAAACGAACTCAAATAACCATAACTCAGAGATGCAGAGTTAGTAAAATAATGTAAGCAGATCAAAAATAGTACCAGATTTAGGCCTTTTCCATTGATACTTAAGGAAAAACACATGCAAATTCTTCTGTTTATGACAAATCAATCTACATGCATCTGTCATCTGTTCATTTATGAGGCATAAAATACAGTCTGAGAATAAAACTATAAAAACAATAGATAAGTTATTCTAGCACCTGTCAGTGAGAGAATGAACTGAAAATCAGGCCCCCTTGAACTTGTCTTTATCACTGAGCTTACATACAACCCGAAGACCTGTACAGAGTCAGCTCAGCACATAGTTTACTTTTTAGATCATGTAGAATGAGTTTAAAATTTACCATGTTAACCTTGCAAATCTGGACAAGCTTAAAGCTTTAGTTCATAATTGTCCTCAGACCTGAAGATAGCTTATCACGTTCATCATTCAAGTTGAATTAAGCTGCAGAATGGTGAGACGTGTTCACTCACCATGCTCACATACTGAAGAACCACAACTTGTATGATATAAAATTATAATGCACTTATAGCCAATACCAAGTTATACTTCAGGATAGTGTAACTATTACAGTATAATATGATAACTTTGTGACATATGGCAGGTCAGGCCAAGGTCAACGTTTTCAAAAGTAGTTCAAACTCCAAGTCAAGATTATGAGGACAAAAATATTGGTACCCGAAGAAAAGTCCTGTCACAAGGAATATACAATGTATATGAAATGTAAAAGCCCTAGGGTAGACTACTCAAAATTATTGCCAAGGTCAATGTTTTTGCAAAGAGGCAAAATAGTCAAACCAACACACCAAAAAATATATAAGGCTCCAAATCTTTGATAACATGGGCATAAAACGCCATTTCATTTTTGAATGACATAAATTCCAAAGGGCTTAATAAAAATTAAATGCAGGTCCAGTAAAAGGACTCTGTCCCAATGAAAATAAATTTTTCTCCCCCAAAAAATTAAGGGGGACAAACAAAATGATTAGCAGATCCATTTTTTTCTTCAAAACTTCTTGTAAGAAAGTACCTGTATTTCAGATTATAATTATAGCTCATAAAGATGTTGGAAGAGGATAAAATCTTCAGTAACAGTCCTTATCCTATAGTCGTTGTACTGGATAAACGTTTCCAAATTTTGCCACTTTTTTTTTTCAATTTAAAACTCCCAGATGATAGGTTACAGGACCCTGAACCAAAATGGGTCAATTAAGCCATGTTCCAGATAAACGTACATGTACAACAGCTATATAGACATAAATTGCCTGTATTTGGGGTGTGTGATGAAGGCATTCACTATTCAAACACAGTTAATACCAGCCATTATCCATTCATATTAATGTGATAATAGAACGTACTTCTCGGGATCATTGGACTGAATTCCTCAAACTCCAATTCCCCACCTAACAGGGACAACTCTGTGAAAAATGTCAGTCTTAATTCACCCCATCCAGTCATGCTCAGTATTCAAAACAATACCCCTGAATGATACAATATTTGTTATGAACATACTTGCCAACCTCCAACATGTAAAAATCTGGTCATGACAAGATTTGGAAAGTAAAAAATCTGGTCATAGCGTGTAACGACATTCACGGCACATTTTGTACCATGATTAAATTAATATATCTATACTACTATATTAAAATAATAGACTCAAATTTTTGGCCTTTAATACCGATAAATCGGAGGAGTACTGTCTTTTGTTTGATATATTTTAAACATCATTGGTACTTGAAGATTACCAATTTGTTTTTATTTTTTCTCAATTAAGCTTCGCTAATTAATAATCAACGAAAATTCCTCAAAAAATTCCGGAAATCATCTGGATTTTTTGGATTTTACAATCTTGCGCGTGCGCATTACATTCACGCTAAATCACGGTGTTCAAATCAATCTCCCTTGCAGAGTTGTCGTTCGTTTCTCTCTCATACACGAATGTATGAGCCGTTGGTCGAGAGTGTGTTCAAATCAGAGAAAACAAAAATAAATACTAAGCAGATGTATATTTCTTATTGTATAATTTCTCTAATAAGAAATCAGTAATATATATATGAACAGAATATATAGCAAATTTCCAATGAAAATTTACACGTATTTGTCATAGGGGTCGGAACCGGGGGGGGGGGGGGGGGAGGCTAGGGGGGCTTAGCCCCCCCTTTTTTTGCAAAGATAGACATAATATAGGCATTGAAAATTGGGACTTACCTTTTTTCGTTGGTTTAGCCCCCCCCCCCCCCCAACTTTCAAATAGCCACCCCACTTTCAATTTGCTTCTGAAGCCTATGTTCGTTTCTGAGTTTATATCCATACAAATGTGATATTGTGGCCACGTGGGTAATCATTCGCCATCTCGGAGACACATTTATTATATGTTATTTATATCTCTGGCCATCTCAACGGAGGCAAAAAGCTCATGATCGTAGGAGCAACATTAATGTAACTACCCGATTTATTTTATCCCTCCTCTTTTATGTTTTTTTGAGGGGAACTGAAGGGGGGGGGGTGTTACAACTCCAGTTAGAATCACATCTTAGTGAAGTAGGCATTCTTTTTCCGCCAAAAATTACAATAATAACTACGATATAAAAATTATAGACTCGAATTTTTGGCCTTTAATACCGATAAATCGGAATTTAAGAATACTGTCTTTTGTTTTATATATTTTAAACATCATTGGTACTTGAAAATTACCAATTTGTTTTTATTTTTTCTCAATTAAGCTTCTTTTTATATTACTTTTTCTATGTACTAATTCAAGGATATTACATTAATTTTTATCAAAACAGTCTTTTACATATTATATACCTGTCTATTACCTGTGTATATATAAAGTACATGTATATGTATTAGCCGTGCTTAACTCTTTTATGTTGAGGTCATATTTTGAACAAGTTGAGATCTGCAGTGTTAAAATTGTTACAATTTTTTTTAAAACCTTTACTTTAATAACTGATTGTGTAAAAATACCAGCTTAGCACATTTCTTCATTTTCATTACTTTGCTTGATATGTATCAACAGTGTGCTCAACTCTTTGCTGTTGTCATATTTTCAATGAACATCCATAATTTCTTTTATTAAATTTGTTTGGAAGGGTGAAATTTATGTAAGCTCCAGCGTGATTCGAACTCAAGACTTGATTTATAGCTAACTGGTGGTCAAACCCATTCTGCGCTACGCCGTTACGCAACAATTTAAAAAAAACAAGACAAAAACAAAACAAAACAAACACCAAAAAAAAAAAAAACACAAAAAAAAAACAAAACAGAATTATATTCACATTCATTGTTTATTTAAAAAATACCTTACAATATGAATGTGTTGATGTATCTATTTTGTAAATGTCCGATATGCATATGGATGCATTCATAACAATGTCAACCCGTGCACGCACGGGTCAAAGTCTAGTATGTATATATAAGTATTTGTGTATTGAAATTATTTTATTAAAAATAGGCTTTAATTACACTGATAAAATATTTAATATATATTGATTAAATTTACATGTTAAAAGAGCATTAAAGGTTTCATTATTCAGTATTGACCTTAATTAAGTGTGCAATTTTTTTTTTTTTAAAGGAAAGTCTTTTCAGAATCTGCATTGCTGATTTGAAGTACATGGAAAGTTTGTGCTAAATTTGAAAGTATTCTTATTTTGGGTTTTGAAGTTATTTTTCCTCTCCCGAATTAATTTGATTAACAAGTGCTTTAAATGTACAGTTATGCCTACACTATCTTCGAACACTTTATTTCATCTCATGAAAGTTTTTTTTCCAAGATTCCTTGATATGTACATAAATATCGTTTCTCATTTTCTTGGTTCAGTTTGTTCCTGCTGGCCCTGATAATGATCTCTTTCTATCAGAAGCCATTTTAAATTGACTTAAAACGTTGATTTGTCAAAACAACTCTCAGGTAATTGTTTACGCCTGCACTGATAATTAACTGGTACACGGCCTACTGAACAAAGCCATCGGCATTGTTTACGTATATCCAGCTTGGGTTGTAACTGGAAGTTAAAAGTGCAACCTAATTTACGAACCAAATCCAGAAATCAGGAGATTTTCCGGTTGTTTGGCAAAAACCGGGTGAAAAGCATGACCCGCCGGGTCATAAAAAATAATCGGGTTAAGGGTAGAAAAATCGGGTGTAACCCGACGAAATCGGGTGAGTTGGCAACTATGGTTATGAAAACTACCATTTATTTTTTTTTAAATATGCATACATTT